GTATTAAAAGCCCGCCCTGGCAAAGAAAAGGGGGGGGGGGGAGGGAAGAGTAGGTAAGCCGAAAATGTTAACGGTGTCCCAACAAAGGGGAGGCAGGAAAACGACTTGCTCGACGCAGCCCGCGAGGAGGGCGAGCTGCAGGCCGAGGGACGCGAGGGCGCCACCCGGCCAGTCCCGGCCCGGCCGGGGCTGAACGGAGCTGGGCCTTGCCCCAGACCAAGAAAGGTCTGCACAGGTGCGCCCCGAGGAGATGGTTCCTCCGCGGACACTACGACGGTCCTCAAACACAGGCCTCTCTCTGAAAGCCAGGCGGCCACAGCACCTTCGGTGGACATGCCCACTCGTCCCCGAGTCCCGGGTACAGGCTACCCGGATATGCGACTCCCAAGGGTGGCAGGTCCCCTTGCTCTTCCCCGCCCTCCGCCCAGGTAACCAGACCCAGATCCCGGCTGCCTCACGCCGGCTGGGCCCCCCAGGACCCCGGCCGGCCCAGGCCATAGCCTGGGCGCTCCGGCTCCCCGCTGGCCGCAGACAGGAGCCCGAGCCCGAGTCGCGGCCTCCGCGAGCTCCGGGGCTCCTCTCGCGCCCCAGGCCGCGGCCTCCTCCGCCCACAACGTGCTGAGCCCCGGGCGGCCCTGGCCCGCTGCCGCCGACCCGCCAGCCCAGCCTCGGCCGGGCTCCGCAGAGCGCCGTCCCGCGCGAGCCGGGCCGGAGCCGCGCCAGCGAAGCGCACGTGCCTGCCCCAGAGCCGAGGCCTCACGCGGAGCCATACTAACCACGGGCGCCATGGCCGGAGCGGAGGCAGAAAGGGAGGGGGGCGCACTACGCAGACGCAAAGAGCCCGCAGCGCGCAGAGCACGCAGGACTCAGGCCGTACCAATCGCTCCGCCACGCCCCTCGGCCGCCACGGTACCGCCCTGTTCCGTACGATCGGGGAGCGATTGCTTTTCCCCGAATGCGAAGCCCGTCCTATCGCAGGCCTTGGGGTGGGGGGGGCGGTTCAGAGGAAGGAGACCGGGTGGCCTGTCCCACTGCGAATGATCGGAGAGGGGAGCTAGACCGGAGGAGCCCAAAGAGAAAAGAGGGGTTCGCTCCACTTTTGAAAGTTTTGGAAAGAGAAAAGAAACAAAGGCGTTCACTCACCCATAAGTCACCAGCTAGTGGTCGAACCCACCAACTTGGGAAGTTGAGGCCTTTCTGGTCCCAGGGTCCTGACGCCCGAGAGCACTTTGGCTTCTTCTTCCCTGAAGTGCCCAGACTTGAAGCTGGTGCCCAAGGGCTGTGTGTCCCCGGGCCAGCCGTCCACGCTGCAGGCAGGTACGCCCTGCAGTTTGACCCCTTCGCCATCTCGAATGCAGGCCGCCCACCCTCCGATCATCACCACCTAGCTTTCCAGCGCGTGCCTTCCAGTTCCCCAAAAACGCTCATGCCAGCGCTTCTCAAACTGGCATGTAGACAGCAATCACCGGGGATCTCCTCAAAAATGCAGATTCCAGCTCACTGGGTCTCACTGGCTTGACATTCTGCATGTCCCACAAGCTCCCAGAAGATTCTGCTGCTGCTGGTGGTCTATGTACCCCAAGCTGAGTAGCCAAGGGTTGGGGGGGGGGAATCTTCACCCTCCGACCAAGGATCCATTGACTGGACTGCTTCCACCCACCCTCACCCCTCTCGTCCTTACCAGTTACATCCTAGGGTCCTTCATTGTCATCACCCAGCCGCATACACCCAGCTCTCCCCTCCCCCTGGCTGCAGCGGCCTCCCCTGTCAGAAGCCCAATCCTGGCTTGCAACGGTTGGAGGAAACACAGTGCACCGACTGGTGACTGGTCTCGGTTTAAACTCAGTCTGTTGTGCCAGTTAACGAAGTACCAAACCCACCCTCTTATTATTAGTATGTTTTAATGTTAATTTACTTTTGAGAGAGAACGTGCAAGTGGGGGAAGGGCAGAGAGAGAAGGAGACAGAGAAAGACAATCTCTTTACACCAATTTTCTTGGAAGAGCTGCCTCTCCAGCCACTGCCCTCCCATTGTCCATTAAACCCACTCTGGTCAGGCTTTTGGCCCCCAGCTATCGGGACAGCTCTCATCAAGGTCACTGGTGATGTCCCCCTGCTAAGGACTCGGGTCAGGTTTCTGTCCTCCTCTTCCTTAGCAGCATCTGACACTGTGGGTCACTCCCTCCTGCTTGCTGACCTTTGGGGGAGGGGGACTGGGGTCTCCTGTTTCTCTCATCTCACTGGCCGCTCCTTCTCCTTACTGCTCCCTCCTCTTCCCTGGACTTGAAGGGCTGCAGCACACAGAGCTCCCCCCATCTTTATCTGCACTTGACCTTTGGTGTCACCCAGGATCATGCTTTAAACACAACTCCCCAAGTCTGTGTGTACGGCTCCCACCCCTCCCTGGACTCCTGACTCACAACCAGTGGCCTCCCTGATATCTCGAGTCTAGAGTGTCAAGGGGACCACCCCCACCCCCATGACCCCATATTCCACCACCCCTCACCCTTCTCCCCACACTGAAACCCATGCCCCTTACCCCCACCTCCATCCTCAGCCCCACCTCACCCCTGAGTTCCGGAGTCTCCACACACATTGGTCAACTTTTCTTTGCTTGACATTTATCCCAACTTCTGGGATCTTATTCTTGCTGCTCCCTCCACTTTGAACTCTTTCTGGCTTTTCTTGTGTCTGATTTCTTCTCATCCTGCAAGGTCTCAGCCTCAGTGCCCCTCTCTGCCCAGGATTACCCAGTGTGCCCTCAGCTCCACCCCTCAGTTGCCCTCCTTCACATCATCCTGATAGTTTTCTTTGGAGCGCTTAGCACAATCTGTCATTATTGTACTTGTCTATGTTTATACTTGGTTAACCTTGGGTACTGTGTTCCCTCCCCTGTGTGACCTGTGGCAGCTACTTAGTAACAGATGAAGACATGAATGGATGGATTAAATAAACCAGAATACCAGGACTGAACAACCATTTCCTACTGCCCCTCCAGAAGGAAACTACTGCATAATTCATTTAATGAAGTAGCCTCCAGTTTTGTATACCAGTTCTCCCACTTACTAGGGTAACATTTTCTACCTTCTAAGGTTGTTGTCTGGATGAGTTAATACAAGTAAAAGAAGTATGAACAGTACCTTGGCCTGCAATGTTAGCTATTGTTATTACAGTTACTATGGCTTGGAGCACAAATGGAACCCGGGACAGAGAGGGCCTTTAAGAGAACAAGTATTTTAGGGGCCCCTGTGTGGCTCAGTCGGTTGAGCGTCCGACTCTTGATTTTGGCTCAGGTCATGATTTCTTGGTTTCCTGGCTGACAGTGCACAGAGCCTGCTTGGAATTCTCCCTCTCCCTCTGCCCATCTCCTACTCGAGCTCTCTCTGTCTCTAAATAAATAGATAGATAGATAGATAGATAGATAGATAACTTAAAAGAGAGAGAACAGGTAGTTTACGCCTAGAATTCACTTCCTTTCTCCCTCTGTCAAACTTCTATTCATCCTTCAAAACCCAGCTTGAATATTATCTCCTGCCTTTTCCTAACTGATAATATTTTACCCAGCACCTTCTGTGGGTCATTCTCTGAACTTGACTCTGATGTCAGGAAGGGTGGAGACAGAGGGTGCCTTCCCAGAGCTCAGGATAACACATACTCTGACTCCCGCTCAGGTCATGATCTCAGTTCTGGGTTCGAGCCCCGCTTCAGGCTCTGTGCTGACAGCTCAGAGCCTGAAGCTGTGTGTCTCCCTCTCTCTCTCTGCCCTTCCCCCACTCGCACTCTGTCTCTCTCTCTCTCTCTAAAATAAACATTAAAAAATAAAAAAAAAATTTAAAAACCGTACAGAGAAGGTAGGAAATGACCTAACGATGGAAGGCACGCGGGAGAAAATAATACTGGGATAAACAAGGACTGAGCAGACCAAGAACAGCAGAGGGAGCTCTGCGGGAAAGGCTCAGAGGCTCCTCTCTGTCCCAAACCCACCCCTTCTTTTGGGAACCCGACTGGTGGTGGGGGTTGGGGCCTTGATTATTTAGAAGCCTAGTAGGCGCACTTCAGTTGATGAAACTCTCGCGCGTCGCCGAGGGGCAGGCCCTGTTCCGCCCAAGCTGTGAGGCTCTGAGCGGTCAGCCTCTGGGCCGAGAGACCCCAACCGGCCGGCGGCGGCCTGGGATTCCACACCCCCCCCCCGCCGCGCGCGGTCTGCGGAGGGGCGGCCGCTGCTCTCTGGCGCCCCCAACTGGCCGCGGAGGACATGGGGACTCGCAGACCCACTCGTGTCCCAGCCCCGGTCGGTCGGGAGAGACCCCGCGTAGTCAGGGCGCCCTGGCACCCACGAGGAGCCTACAGTCAGGGTCTGGCCCCGCCCAGGTGCTCCTCTTGCTCGGGGCTCGGGGCCCGGGTCCGGGCGGGGGCGAATCAGAGCCTCGGGCCCTGGCGCCGCGCGGTTCTTTCAGGCCTCCGCGGTCCCTCCTCTGCCCTCGGGGCGAGACTCGGGGTGGCCGTGGCGGAGGCCGTCGTCGCGGCGCAGCGGCTGGCCTGGGAAGGGCGCACGGGGGCCCCGTGCCCGAGCAGTGCTGCGGCCCAGAGCGGAAGGGGTGTCGCCTGCAGGTCACCCAGAGGACACCGGGAGGGGAATTCCTGGGGTGGGAGTGAGGCGAGGTGGGCGAAGCGGAGGCAGGGGAAGCTAGACGTTGGGTAGGACGCATTGCCCGGTCCCGCGGCCTGACCTTCCGGGGCCACCAAGGGGGTGCGGGAGAGGCGGGGAGCGCACACAGGGCGCGACCCTCCCGCGCGCCTCCTGCCGGCTTCCGCGGCTCTGGGCGCCCCAGACCCCAGCCCGGGCCGAGGCGGTCCCCGCTCCACGACCGCCGGACGCCCCGGCGGGGCGGGGCGGGGTAGGCAGGAGGGAGCCGCGCGCGGGCAGAGGGGACACGCGGGCTCCGCGGCAGGGACCCCGCGCCGTGCACGCCCCGCCGTCTTCCTGAGCTTTTCCGGAAGATGTCGGGAGCTCTCTTCCCGCCCCCGGAGGGGCTGGGGGCCCTGGACGCCGCGAGCGGCCACCCGCTGGTGTGCCCGCTGTGCCACGCACAGTTCGAGCGCCCGTGCCTGCTGGACTGTTTCCACGACTTTTGTGCCGGCTGCCTGCGGGGCCGCGCCACCGACGGCCGCCTGTCCTGCCCGCTGTGCCAGTGAGTGTCGCCCCCCACCCCTGAGAAGACTGGCCCCGTCTGGGTGGGGGGCTAGGAGCAGGGAGGGCAGAGGCAGCTGGGAGAAGCTGCCCCCAGCCGGCACCTCTCAGCCAGAGAACGCGCCGGCTCCGGCCCTTTATACGGAGCAGGTTAACTGAGGCCGGGAGTAACTGGCAGAAGGCCTCCCCTAGACAGCCGGGAGGCAAGAGGAAGGCAGCGCGGGATCTCAGCACAGCAGTCCTAACACTGCCAGGAATTCCCTTGGGGGACCCCTTGAGTCTTAGGTCAACACAAGCAGGTTACTCTGGCTCACGTTACAGGTGCTGGCCCTAAATTTGTGCGATGCAAGGAGAAGGGGTTGAGGGGAGGTTTGAAACCCACCAACCCCATGGGCCCCCAAGATTCACCCCGGACTGGGCAGAGGGAGGGACGGGGTCAGAGTGAGCACTGGGTGAGACATTTATAGCAGATGCCAGGCCCTATTTTTAGTTCCAGCCTGAAATGTGGGGGGCGGGGGTGGGGGGAGGGAGGAGATAGGGAGCCACGGGGAAGGGGCATCTGGATCTTGGCTGCGGCTTCTCCACAGACACCAGACGGTGGTGAAGGGTCCCAGCGGGCTCCCGCCGGTGGATCGGCTGCTGCAGTTCCTGGTGGACAGTTCAGGGGATGGCATGGAGGTGGTGCGCTGTGCCAACTGTGACCTGGAGTGCGGCAAGCAGGCAGGGATGCCTAGGGGTGGGGTGGGGAGGGGGCGTGCCAGGTTTCAGGGTCCCCAAGCTCCCAGTGTGTGCCCCTAGAGGATTATTCCATCCGTGGATTTTCCAAAACCTTTCTAAGTCACCCTGGATCCCAAATGTGGGCCCCATTTTACCAGTGGGGAGACTGAGGTCCGGAACAAGTGACTTGAGGCATTAGCCACATAGTGGCAGAGGTTAAAGCCATTCCGTTTGGGGAGAGCTTACCAGTCCCCAAACCTAGGGTGGGGTTGGGATGGTCCTTGAGGGCTGCCAGCTGCGGAGCTGACCAAGGGGAAGTGAGGACAGTGTGCTGTTGGAGACAGGTGTTCCTGCCTCCCCTCCCCGAGTCTAAGAAAGAGGAGCAGAGAGAGGCCAGGCTTCAGGCTGGGCTGTGAAGGCTGGATGGGGTAGGTATTCCAAGTCCCAGGAGGACAGCCCTGTGGGAGCAAACTCTCGGGGTGCGCTGGGCAAGGGCTGGAATATGAGAACCAGCAGTACAGAGATGACCGGCAGGATGTTAGGGGTTGGAGGTACGGACCCCAGGAGAGGAAATGGCCTTGAATGCCGAAGTAAGGAGCTGGGTCTGTGCTTACATAGCCATTGTTGGGGTCAAAGCCACAGCTGCGGCCCCAGGTCTTGCGCAGGGAAGGGAACCTTCCTCTTTCCCTCTCCCAGCCAAGTTGTGACTCCAGATGGCCAGGGTGGGCACCGTCATTTGACCACTGCTGAGGGTGCCAAGGAGGGTTTAAGAAGCCTTCAAACACAACATTTTGTTGTAGGTTAAATGTTTCGCCCTCCCCACCCCCCAACCGCTTCAGTCTCATCTGTAAGTTGGGTATATTCGAGCGTCAAGATTTCACAGAAGGGCTGCGTTGGGCCGGGAGCCCGCCCCAGGCTGAGACTGACGCGCTCTTTGACACGGGGCGGGGCGGGCTCAGGGCCTCGGGCTCCTCGCCCGCGGGCAGGCTGAGACTGCGCTCGGTCCTCGGTCCTCAGGACGCAGAGACCACGTACTTCTGCAACACGTGTGGGCAGCCGCTGTGCGCGCGCTGCCGCGATGAGACGCACCGGGCACGCATGTTCGCGCGCCACGACATCGTGGCCCTGGGCCAGCGCAGCCGCGACGTGCTCCAGAAGTGCAGTGAGTGCGGCGAGCCGGGTGGGGGCCGGGTGGGGGCCGGGCCGGGGTGGGCGTGCCCGGAGCCCTCACCGCCGCCCCCGCCGCCCGCCGCAGCGCTGCACGCCGAGCCCTACATCATGTTCTCCACCGACAAGAAGTCGCTGCTGTGCATTCGCTGCTTCCGGGACATGCAGGGGTGGGTAGGGGGAGCGGGGGCGGGGGGCGGCCGGAGGGCAGCCGGAAGCGGGACTCACGCGCGCACGCGGTCCCCGCAGGGAGAGCCGGGCGCACTGCGTGGACCTCGAGTCAGCCTACGTACAGGGCTGCGAGCGGCTGGAGCAGGCGGTGCTGGTGAGCGCGGGGGGTGCCCAGCGCGCCGGGCAGGGCCTGTGCGCTCCCTCCAGGCTGAGGCCGCCCTGTTCCCAGGCCGTGAAGGCCCTGCAGACGGCCACACGGGAGGCCATCGCGCTGCTACAGGCGATGGTGGAGGAGGTGCGGCGCAGCGCGGCGGAGGAGGAGGCCGCCATCCATGCCCTCTTCGGCAGCATGCAGGTGAGGGGCAGTGGGCACCGGACAGCCCCAGGCTAAGCATCCTCATCAACCGCGACCTGATACCCACAGCACGCCTCCTCCCCGCCTCCGCCCCCCACGCCCCCCCCAGTCTCTGGTGTAGTCCGGGAGAGCGGGTGGAGTTACTTAATCACCGTGGCCAGGAGAGTTCCAGTCCCAGGCTGGTGCCATCGGTGCGGGGTGGTGAGGGAACACTCTGCCCAGGAGCTGCTGACATTTAAGGTGAGGGCACCAGGGCTCCTGGGCAGCGGGGTGCAGGCAGGAAGAGCCAGGAGGTTGTAGGGACAGCCAGCCGCACCAGCTGAGGGGCTGGGGCCCAGGCCTGGGTGAGTGCTGGGCTGGGAGGTGGCGGGCTGAGCTGCCCAGTCAGAAGCAGGCTGTCCCTCCCAGGACAAACTGGCAGAGAGGAAAGCGCTGTTGCTGCAGGCCGTGCAGAGGTGAGTGGTGGTGGGGTCTCCACCCACTGGCCCTTGGCCTCAATACACCTATCTCCCTGCCTGGACCTGGGCAGACCCTGCCCCACCCTGGGGAGCTAGACATGTGGGTGAGGAGGGCAGGGGTGGTTCAGGGTGCCAGGGAGGGATGCACAAAGCTGGTGGGTGGGGAGATGGAACTTCCCCGTTCTGAGCCCCCCCCAGGTGGGGGGGGGCAGCACTCCCCTTGGAGATGAGGCTGCCTGCCCCTCCCCCAGCCAATATGAAGAGAAGGACAAGGCCTTCAAGGAGCAGCTCTCCCACCTGGCCACTCTCTTGCCCACCCTGCAGGTAAGGGGAGCTGGGGGTACAGGGCTGGGCACCCCAGCCCCAAGGCCTCCCTCCCCCCTGCCAGGTACAGAGCAGTGTCCTGCCCGCAGGTTCACCTGGTCATCTGCTCTTCCTTCCTCAGCCTGGCCAATAAGGCTGAGTTCCTGGACCTGGGCTATGTGAGTCTCCCTAGCTCATGAGGGGTCTCCCCCTCCCCATCAGAAGCCCACGCTGCACACCCAAGGCTGCACACCCAAGACTCCCACCTCAGGGCTTGGCAGCCTCCCACCCATAGGCTGGACCAGGGCCCTCTGGGCTTACCTTCCCCTCCTCCACACCATCATCTGCAAACCATTTAGGGGCCAGCTGAATTGATTTTAAAAGGACAGTGAAGGGGCGCCTGGGTGGCTTAGTCGGTTAAGCGTCCGACTTTCACTTAGGTCATGATCTCCCGGTTCGTGGGTTCGCGCCCCGCGTCGGGCTCTGTGCTGACTGCCAGCTCAGAGCCTGGAGACTGTTTCAGAGTCTGTGACTCCCTCTCTCTCTGACCCTCCCCTGCTCATGCTGTCTCTCTCTCTCTCTCTCTCCTAGAAATAAAAAAAAAAAAAAAAAATCTCTCTCTCCTAGAAATAAAAAAAAAAAAAAAAAAAAAACAAAAAAACCAAAAAAAAAAAAAAAAAAAAAAAAACATTAAAAAAATTAAAAAAAAAAGTAAAAAAAATAAAAGGACAGTGAAGCCTGGAAGGGAGTGGGAGCCCCGAATTCCCCCCAAAAGTGTCGAGTGTCTCCTGAAGTCCCTCTACCTCCAACTTTCCTGTGGTTTGGGACCCGGGGTGGTGTGGGGGTTCCAGAACAGTCCCAGGAAGGGCTGGAGGCTCCAACACACACCGGCTGAGTGCCAAAGGCAGCCTTGCCCTGGCGGCGCGGGGCCCTCACTGTCGCACCACACCAGCCCACCCTGCCGGGGGCCTGAGCGCCCTCCTCCCACTGCAGGAGCTGATGGAGAGGCTGCAGGGCATCGTCACGCGGCCACAGCGCCTCCGGCCTGCGCAGAATAGCAAGGTGCGGTGGGGGGCGGGGAAGGGGCGGGCGGCGGGGGCGAGGAAGCCGCCTCACCACCCTGTCCCGCCGCCCAGATCGCCAGCGACCACCGCGCGGAGTTCGCGCGCTGCCTGGAGCCACTGCTGCTGCTGGGGCCACGTCGGGCGCCAGGGACCGGGGGCGGCACCAGCACGTGAGCAGCCGGGACGGGGCGTGGGGGTGGCACAAGGTATCCGTCGCAGTAGGGACAGGCTGTTTGCCGCCCATCCCAGACAGAGGGACCAGAAGCCCCGGGCAGACCTAGCAAAGCAGAGCCTGGTTAGGGAAGGACGGAATAGACCCCGGGGGGCTGTCCCCAACAGCTGCTCCAGCCTCTGCCACTCAGGCCAGGCCGGGGTGTCTGAAGGGGAGGGGCAGCTTGGGGTAAGGCCTGACTTTGAGCCTTAGTCTGGAGACCCAGACACCCAGGACAGCATAGAAATGCCTGAACTGGGTGTATGTGCCAGGACTCCAGTCTCCTGACGGGAGACTGGGCGGCAGGTGAAATGCCCAGAGTCCCACGGGTGAGTGAACAAAGTTTATTACGCACCAGCCCTGATACACCTGGACAGACCCCTTCCGGTACATTGACAGTACCCAGGGGAGGTTTTAAACACCATGCTGACGTCCTCCGTCTTGGATGTGCCTTGCACAGGCTTTTTCAAAGCTAAGTGGTTCTGCTGTGCAGTCCCAGGCAGAGGCTGAGAGGGTGGAGACGGGGAGACCCTCCCGACCCCCACATCTGCATCCACACTGGCTTCCCCTCAGGCTAGCAGCGGGCTCAGGCCCCAAAGCGCTGATGGGGCCCAGCTGCCCTTCCCCAGCGGGAAAGATGTTGGGGTCACTGGTCCAGAAGCCCACGCTGCACCGGACCATCAGCACCAAGGTGCTGCTGGCAGAGGGGGAGGATTCGCCCTTCACGGAGCACTGCCGCCGCTACGAGGACTCCTACCGGGTGAGCGGGCGCCAGGGACCTGCAGGCTGGCAACGTCCTCCCGCCCCCCACCTCCCCAAAGTGCAGTGACCAGGTCTAGTCCTGGCCACCCGGGCTGGGGGCTGTGCCTCCGGGGAGGCGCCTCACTAGGTCTCTGTGCACAGCGCCTGCAGACAGAGACGCAGAACCTGAAGGACCAGGCGCAGGAGCTTCACCGGGACCTCACCAGGCACCACTCGCTCATCAGGGCGGAGATCATGGGGGACATCCTGCACAGGTCCGCGCGGGTGGACGCGCACATCGCCTCGGAGTACGCCTCCCTGGAGGGGATGAGAGCAGTCTTCCGGGAGGTAGGCCCTCCCCAGACGCTGTCCCCGTCCCTGCAGCCCCAGCTGTCAGCAGATACAGGGCCGACCCCGAGACAGGAAGGGGAGAGAAAGAGGAGCTTGGCCTGGTCCATCATGAGGCCCTCGTGTGGCAAGCTCTGCAATGATGCTCTGTGCTGCCTGAAACCACGTGAACCGGCTGGGGGTGCCCTGTGGGAATTCCAACTCACGGCCATATGCAATGTCCAGCTCACTTTCTCTTTCAGATTTGGGAGGAATCCTACCAGCGGGTGGCTAACGAGCAGGAGATCTACGAAGGTCCCATGCGACTGCTGCTGGGTGCACCCCTGTCCCGGAGCTAACCCATGTGTCAGCAGGCGCAGGAAGTCAGATACCCACTAACCAGATACAAACTCCCATGCTCTTCCCCTTAGCCCTTGACTTTGGCTCACGATTGCTAATGCCCCAAAACGATGCATGTGAGATCAGGATTCAGTAAGCAGAATACCTCCACAAGTCTCACGGTGCTCTTTAATTAAAGACGCAATCGCTGATGTAGTTGGGATAGATACGTAGACGGTGCCAGGCCTGACAAGAACCTGAAGCCAACAAGACCCAACGCTCTGGCATTGGCCCCCACAGCCCAGCTCCATGACCTTCTCCAGCTGAAGCAGGAGAATGCCTACCTGAGCACCATCACCAAGCAGATCATGCCCTACGTCCGCTCCATTGCCAAAGTGAAGGAGCGGCTGGAGCCCAGGTGAGAGCAGGGGTTGTTCACAGGGGAGCCAAGACACTTCAGAATGTGTGTGGGAAAGGTGCCTTACATTCGGAAGAGCTCCTTTCAGGGAGTGGGCCGGGTCATGAGGGGTTACTCGGCATCTGGGCAGACCAGGTGCTGGTCATCTATCAAAAACACAGAATGAGTGGGCTGCTCGGAGCTCCTGCTTTTAGGGACAACACTGCCCACCTCTGGCCCCTCAGGAATAGGTCAAAGCAGGAGACACTTCTTGGGGGTGAAAGGAGGGCACTCAGGCAGCAGCACATGGAGGAGAAGGCAGAAGAACTGCCTCAGCACATGATTAAGCCAAGTCTAGGCTCTTAGAACCGTACTCGGGCATCAAAAGGTGTTACAGTGGCAGAAAGATGTTGGTGGCAGGTTCTCAGTGTATTTGTCTCTCGGGTCAGCTGGTCGCCCTGTAGGTCTGGTGCACCACCGTCAGCCTGAACTCTTCCTCCACCACCCTCTTGGGGACTCCCATTTGCCCTGCCCCTCCACCCCTCCATTACTCTTTGGAAAAGAGTGCACAGGAGGTACATATTTTGGACAGCACAAGTCTGAAATGTCTATATTCTGCCTTCCCACTTGACTGATAGTTTGGCTGGGTATTGAATTCTACATTGAAATTCTAGATTGGAGGGGGCTTAGTTGGTTGAGCATCCAACTCCATTTGGGCTCAGGTTATGATTCCAGGCTCATGGAATTGAGCCCCTTGCCAAGCTCCTCACAGAATGTGGAGGCTGCTTGAGGTTCTCTCTCTCCCTCTCTCCGCTGCCCCTTTTCCCTGCCAGTGCTTGCTGTCTCCCTCTCTCAAACAAATAAATCATGAAATTAGAGATTTGAAGATTCTCCTTTGAAGGCATCATTGTATTATTTTGTTTCCAAGGTTGTCTTTGAGAAGTTTGAAGGCATTCTGATTCCTATCTTTGCAATGAGACCTACTTATTCTCTTTAGAAGCTTGTGGAATTTTCTCTAGTCCCAGCATTCTGAAACTTCACACTGGTGAGGGCCTACTTCCATCCTTTAGGTCTATTCCACTAATCAGGAAGAACTGGTAGGTCCTTTCAGTCTGGAAGTTCATCTGCTTCCTTTTTTTTTTTTTTTAAGTTTGTTTATTTTGAGAGAGAGAGAGAGAGAGAGAGTGCGCCCACAAGGCAGGGAGAGGCAGAGAGAAATGGAGGGAGAATCCCAAGGAGGCTTAGCTCTGTCAGTGTGGAGCCCAACGTGACATTTGAACTTGCGAACTGTGAGATCATGACCAACTTACCCAACCGAGCCACGAGGTGCCCCCATGTCCTTCAGTTCTGACATGTCTTTTTCAACTAGTTCATTGATTTCTTCACTTTTTCTCTTCCTGGAATCTCTATTATTGGAACATTGGCTTTGCAGGGCTGATGTGCCTTCTCATGATCTTCTTCTTTGTCTTTCTGCTGTGCTTTCTGCGATTTCCTTTTTCTTCCAACCCTTCTATTGAAGAAAATTCCCAAGAGCTCTTTTTAAAATTTCATTGTTTTTCATCTCCAAGAGCTCTTGTTTTGTACTGTAGTACGAAATACTACCTCCTCCCACAGCATTCTGCTGTTTTAGCCCTCCACGGCTGATAGGTGCTCGTTGTTTCTTTCTCCCTTGTCTTTTTCCTGCAAGTTTTTGTTTAGGTTTCTGTCTTCCGTTTTTTTTTTTAACCTTTTAATGTTTACTTATTCTTGAGAGAGAGCACATGAGCAGCAGAAAGGCATAGCAAGAGCAGGAGACACAGAATCGGAAGCAGGCTCCAAGCTCTGGGCTGTCAGCGCAGAGCCCGATGTGGGGCTCGAACCCACCAACTGTGAGATCACGACCTGAGCTGAAGTCAGATGCCCAGCCAACTGGCCCACCCAGGCGCCCCTCTGTCTTTCATTTTAAAGGCTTTTCTCGGGTCATCTTTGATCCTGTGCTCATTTTACCAGTGGGGGGCGGGGCAGACCGGAACAGAGCACATGGGTAGCATCATTGCAGGGGTGGGGGGATGGGATGGGCAGGGCTCCTTTCCGGCGTTCCCCAGTCTCCTTCCTGCTGGCCACCGTGCGCAGCATTTGCAGGCAGCCCTGGTTTTCGTTTCCCACCTGTGTCGTGCCCTTGTACTTGTGCAGACACGAACCCTTCAGGGGGCTGGCAGGGAGGGGCAGCCGCTCAGCAGCAGGGGGCTTGACGGTAGCCTCCCATTTCCGTCCTCCGTCACAGAGGCCAGGGGGCTGCCAGTCCCCAGGCCCCCAAGGACTCTGTCGTGTGAAGGGACTCGGGCCTCAGCTTGTCAGGCCGCCAGCTCCAAGCTCAGTTACCACTAGACCCTACGGCTTCCACACGTTTGGCGCCACCCTCTTCTCAACCTGGAGAGGATTCTTCCATTGCTGTTTTGGGCCCTTTACTAGAGATTGAGTGAGTCTGAGGAGGAAGGAAAAGTGGCGTGCAGTGGCCACGTTCCTCTAGAACTGCCAAGCCACCTTTCCGGGACGGCTCTGACACGCGCGCAGAGAGGTCCCACCCAGCACGGCATCTGCACAACTGTGATCAAAGCCCTGTCCACCCAGGACCGGGGCAGCGCCTGCTCCGAAGCTGGCATGGCGTCGTTTACTCCACAGATGGTGTGATTCCGTTTATAAAACCTCAAAACCAGACAGACCCACCTCTGGCATTAGCGGTCGGGATGGTGATTACCCCTGGGTAGGGGTTGTGGGGGGGGTTCTGGAAGGAGGTGACGTTCTGGGTGCCGCTACCCCACTGGGTCAGGTTGTGCGCGCATACTGAGCCTCGTGCTCATCGTTTGTGCGCATTTCCTTTTGTGTGCTCTGCTTTGGTGAGAAACTAGCTTCAAGAACTGTGCTCCTGGCTGCCTGTCTCCGGGCGGAGATGGCGCCTGTGGTGGGTTTTGGTGAGGTTGGGGGCAGGGGGAGGGGCAGGGAGGGAGGCTGCCTCTGTCCTTTCTCAAGGCACCATTCTCCAGGCATCTGCAGGCATCTGGCGTTGGGGCCTCCGCTTCCTCCTCTCCCAGGGCCTGGAGCCGCCCCCCCCCCGCCAGCCTGCTCCTGCGGCCCTGGCGACCTCTGGCTGCAGCCCTTGGCCTCTCAGCAGCGCTCAAGAGCAGGGCTGTGGCCGCTGTCTTCACCGTGCTCCTCTCTGGCTTAGGAGGCAGCCCACACCGGATTCCCTCCTGCTGCTCAGGCTGCCCCTTTATAAGTGGCCGCTCTGTCACCTCTGCTCAGTGCCCAAGGTGTCAGCTTTCCGCAGGGTTCAGTCCTAGAGCCTCTCCCCACCCTATACCCTATGCTTAAGGGGCTTCATCTGGTCCCCCCATTTGAAAACCCCAATGTGACACAGCCCCCAAGCCCCCCCCACCGCATAGGCCCTCCTAGGCTCGACCCCTCCAGCTGCCCTCTCCCAGGAAGGGGGGGTCCACTTGGGCATGGCACGGGAGCCTCAGATCCCACAACAGCAGAACCCCACTTCCTCCCCCAAACACGCCACCCTCTCCCCTCAAGAGTGGCATCCCACCCCCCAGGTGCCCAGGTGAGAAGGCCAGGGAGCCTTCTGATCTCTTTCCTTCCCTCACCCCATTTGCAACCCACCCCGAATCCAGCTGATGCGTCTGTCTCAGCTCACAGGTGTCCCCCGCGGCAGCCCCAGGCCACGCCACCATCAGTGAGCCTCTCTGGCCCTTCTAGGGTGTTCCATAGCCAGAGGTCTTTTTAAGAGGTTAGAGTTCCCATCACTCCGGGGCCCAACAGCCCTTTCGGGACCCTCCCTGTCCGCCTGGGACCACAGCAGCCTCTGGCCACACCCTAGTCACAATGACCTTTGAGTTCCCTAGAGAAGCCAGACCGGGTCCCCCTTCCCAGACAGTCCCAGGATCCACAGCTCCTGCTGTTCCCCACCACCTGGCCCCACGGTGCCTTCCTTCCAACCACAGTGCGGCTGCCGTCCGTGGGAGCAGCTCTGACCCTCAGTAAATCGCAGAGACCAAAGCGCTAGGGGTGCCCCTGAGTGTCTCATTCAGTTTGGTCTTGTCCGACGAGGAGGCTGAAGGACAGACAGCGGCCGGCTCTGCTGCCCTCGAGCCTCCCAGGAACGGTCTCTCCCGCACAGGCTTCAGGTGCCCACGGAGGAACAGCTGGACCCCCTACAGAACACACACGAGGAGGGTGTCAGTGCGGAGACCCAGGCCAGGTAAGGCAGGTCTTTCCAGCCGCTTCGATCTCAAGACACCGGTCCCGGGTTCTCTTTCCCATTCGGTCCAGGCTTTCTAAGAGCCTCAGCTGGGTCCGTTTGTAAAACACGGGTCGGCGAGGTTCCAGACCAGGGTGGCGGCTTCAGAGGAGACGTAACCTGCGCTCTAGCAGCACAGACGGCCACGGCTGCCGCCCACACTGCTCACACCAGCGAGGGCTGCGGGCACTGGAGAGCGGCTCACAGGCATTTACACCAGGGGAGTCAGACTCACTGGAATGAGGAAAAGTAACAGGATTTTCCTCCAAGTGAGAGCATCACTAGTCAGTGGAGCCAGGGCACTTGCCGAAGTCCTTGCCAGCGGGAGAGAAGTGCGTGCGGTAACAGACCCGCCACTGTCGCAGGCTGATCTTGTAGTGGTCTGCTCTCAGTAAGTGAGCTCGCCACGGGGCAGAGAACAGGGCTGCAGGAAACCAGAGCCAGGAGAGCTTGGAGGGCGTGGGGTGGTCTGCCACTGTCTAGAGTGGCTGGTGACAAAGCAGAAACTAGTCTCAGCCTCCCGGGCACCAGGCTAGTCTCAGATGCGTGGAGGAGTGTCCATTCAAAGCTGCTGTCACCATGAGCCAAAGACGTAGCCTGAACTGCCGATGTTTTGGCAACGAAAACCCATCAGAAATGAGAGGAGAGTCCTTTAGGAGAGAAGGTTCTGGTTGGCCTGCTGGTGCCGTCCAGAGGGCTTCCTGTGCGGTAAGCCACACTGACGCAGGCACACAGTGAAATGGGGTGGCAAGCAGCACTCACGCCAGGTGTCCCTTTAGGAATGACCCGGTGAGTGTCGCAGAGAAGAGAGAGAAAACGTCAGAACCCAGAGGGAACAGCCGGACTCTGAACAACCTCAAAGAGCCTCTGCTGAAAAACAAAGATCCTCATAGACCCAAACAGAAAAACGGGGGTGAGGTCCCCCCACGGAAAGAGCGCCCGACTTAGCAAACAGGGCTGGTCCTGAGGGTTGGGCATTTTACAGCACGCAGGTCAAGACTGGGATATTCAAGAAAGGTTGTTCCCATCACGTCCTAAAGGGTAATCACTCATCAGCAGAAAACCCCAGACACTCTGATCGGTGCTGATCTCAGATTCTTTGGCTTAAGCTTCATTCTTCCCCACGTTTGCGCCGCACAAAGTCTCGGTCCTCATCACGGGGACCAGGGGCGACACCGCAGTCTACGTGGAAAACGTGAGCATGTGAAGGTACATTGCGAGCCCCTCGCTGGCCTGGCACCTCCGTCTGCGTGTGAGCACCAGGCCCTGCACCCGTCAGTTGCGCCGAGCTCAGGTCGCAAGGCTGCCACTGCCACCTCCGTGCAGCGCCTGCCCGAGGTTCAGGGTGTCATGAACCACGGCCCCCGCCAGAAAGTTCCAGCCGGTAATCTGAGTGCTGACTCAGCAAAAGGGAAAACCCGTCACTCCTGCTTCCTCCTTTGACGCAAGGACTGAGCTCACACGGAAAGGAGAGGCGGCTGGTGGCACCGGCTGCGGGAGACGGTCACTACAGCTTCTCCACAACTTGTTCCTGCTTCTCCAGACGACTGTCACTCTCGTGTTCACCTTCTACTGATAGTAAAGGAGGATTCAGAGTCAATTTTTCTCCAGAAATTGCTACTCCTGCATGGTGCCCTTTCTATCAAGCAGAACTTCACAAATGCTTTAAAAAGGAAAATTAACCCAGATGACCTGAAATTCTAAGTTTTGGAAGTAAAATGTCCACACAGTCACATTTTAAGGAAATATCCAGCTTGATTTCAGTGGTTCAAACAGCAAATGGATGGGGCAACTGGGTGGCTCAGTGGGTTAAGTGTCTGACTTCAGCTCAGGTCATGACCTTGCAGTTCATGAGTTCAAGTCCAGCACTGGGCTCTGCATTGGGTGGTATGGAGCCTGCTTGGGATTCTCTCTCTTTCCCTTTCTCTCTGCCCCTTCCCCACTTGGTACTCTCTCTCCCTCTCCCAAAATAAACTTGAAAAAATTAACAAACAAACAAACAAAAAACCCACCAAAAACCCAACAGCAAATGGCTTCCATGTGCCAGGCAGGCCAGCACATCAGCCGTGAGACCCTCACATCGCCACCCCAGCTCTGCACCTGCGTTCCGAGCTCGGAGGTTCTCATTCCAAAGCATCACAAACCCACAAGAGCCTAAAGGGCAGGAGGCACTTGTCGTAACAAACTGTTTAGAGGTCAGAACTCAGAACTGAACTGAATGGGCAAAATCCACCTGATTTTATGCTGTAGGTCCCAGACATTTCTTAGCCAGAGAGGATGTGATCTCAAGTGTCTACATCCCACACAATCACACTATCGTTCATAGTGAAATCAAGTACAGTTTTATTTAAGAATTGGAAAGAATAATCAGTATCTGTGAAAGAAAATCCAATTTAAAATATTTAAATAAACATCTCTGCGTGTAAAAAGAAGAGTAAAATAATTACTCCATTAAATTACTCTCCTAGCTATGGGGCGGCTTCCTCTAGAGCAAGCGCTTGGGGCCACCCCTGGCGGCTGGCCCTCCAAGCCCAGGAAGAGGCTCTCACAGCAGGGCGCAGAGAGCAAGCCTCTCCCGCTGACATCGAGCCACTACAGGAGCAAGATGCGGCGGGAGGTCATGACTATCTAAGGCAGTACGAAAGTGCAGAAAGGGACAGTGGGCCACTGTTCCTATTACGGAGGGGCTGCTATGAAAATGAGCGGGAGCTGTGGCCGGTCCTCCCGAGCCTAAGCTATTAACACGTGTAGTGGTTTAGGAATACATGCCTCTCATGTCAATCAGAGGGTTAAATAAATGGAAAGGATTAATCCAGTTTAGTTTTTAGGCTCAAGAAGCAGTTCATACAAAGGAAGGTGTGGTGGGGTCTGCTGCCTTTTGCATTCAGCCAGGCTCACCCTACTTACTCCCTCTTTTCTGTAAACCGCTGGCCACAGCCTGCAAATCCTCACAGAACGTTTCATTTTACGCTGCTTCAAAGTAGCCTTGTTCTGTGCCGTGCCTTTTTTCCATTTAGGAATACTCACTTTAAAACCTGCAATGGAAAAAGTAAGTAATCTCTTGACAGTTTCTTAATTTGAGGGAACTGGTGATGTGGCCTTTACCCAAAAAGCTTTGGGAATACCCAAAAAGCCTGTACTTCATTAACCTGATTCTCTGTGTGTACACTGTCACTGCTAAATATATAAAGTTAAAAATAATCTGAAAATGTCAGTACTAGATGAAAGTCATTCACTTGCCAAATCCTGCCCCGAAGTAGTTCATCTCTTCTCCCAAAGTAACTGCTGACTTCTGCCCTGGGTGTAAAAGTCGGGGTGAGGGTGCCCCCCTCATCCCACGCACGGAAGTATTTTAAAGCCCAGGTGGTGCAACAGCAGCACCTTGCGGCAAAACACGAGGCCCACCTTCTGGGTTCAGGGGCGCGGCAGGAAGGTGGGCTTTGTGAATCCCGGCAGGTGGAGCGAGTCGAGATCGCCAAATGCCAACACCTTCAGACTTTCTGTCCACAAAGCCAGGGGCCGTCATTAGCTGTTCTCCGTCTATTACAGACAGCTTCACAGGCCCTAGTGGGAACGAAAGCTGGGTCTGATCCTGCTACAAACAGCACAACACTTTCCCAGCCACGCCCTCCCCCATCCTGCAATCCTACTGAGCGGAGTTTATTTGGCTAAGGGTGGTCTGGAGAACAAGCCAGAAGCGAGTCAACTCAAGGTCCCAGAGTTAAGTGCATGTTGACGTCCCCCGGGGGAGTGTTCGTGCCAGAGGGACGTGCTGCTGAGCGCTCGGGCGGCGGCCTCGGCCAGCCTGGCTACAAGGCTCTCACGAGGGCCGATGGTGGAGTCCACTCACACGGGCGAGTGGCATCCCAGTCATCAACAAACCCGTAAACCTCTTTGGTATACATCGGAACAAAAAAATTAATTAGGCCATGAAATCTAGAAACAAGTGATATTTCTGAGTTGGTAAAATGCTCTTCTGAACACACATTCCTGGTGTCCGGTACAGCTTAACCAATGTCCACGTCTGTGTGGCTCTCACACAGCATAGATTTCATTTACGCCATTCTCTCTTATCGAAGCATTAAAAATGTGTGACGCTGTTCTTCTAAGTTCTCACAACACCCCTATGAGGTAGGTGGTAGTGACCCCATTCAAAGGATGGGGAGTCTAGGCACGGAAAGGTTAAGTGGTTCCTCGAAGCCGCCAGGTGCGGCATGGTCGCACGGCTGCCCCCCAGCCGGGGCCGCTGCGGCCTTCGTGATCAGGCTTCGTTAGCGCCCCCATAGATCTGTAGGAAGGACTCCACGCGGAGACCAAGGCCCTCTCTGGTCCAGAATTAAACATGGGTCCTAAAGCTTACCTATTTCAAGCCAACCACTCTCCCCAAACTTGAGAAACAGAAATGCTGACTACGTCTCCATTGGGATCATCTGCTCTGTTTAAGACTTCTCTAAGCCGACTTGCTTGAACTTTGTAGGGATGTATGCTTAGCTTAGACCCCTTTGGAAAAGACAGTGTGAAATGCCCTTAGAGATGCTGGAGTTCTGAGTACAGAACACAGAAATCCGTAGTTAGCAGATTTGAACTGAAATGTAAAAATATAAGCTATGGTGAAATACGACTGAAGTCCCAAACCAGCGGAGAGCACGGCTTCCCGGTGTCTGCCAATGCCTTACACAGAGCGGGCGCTCAGCGAGCATCTCTTTGATAAAGGAAAAAGCACACCTTTGACATGCCTGTGTCACTGCTAGCAGCCCCCGCTGGGGAGAAGTGTAGGAGCCAGGGCCCCGGGGAAAGCCACAGGGCCTGCTCTCCCTGGCCCGAGGTGCCCTTGTGAACACAAGACCCTCAGCCAAGCCGCCTGGAGGTGTCCATATAAACACCCAGAGTCCCCTCTGAATTTATGCGCTATTTATAAAAAATAGATATGTAAATACGATTAAATATATTAAGAGCCAAAGTGCCTTATAAAGAATTTTCTTAAAACTGTATAGACGCTCATGCACTTAAGCACAGAAAGAAGGAGGTCAAAGCTGTGCTGTTGGTTTTCGGTTAAAGATGCTGAACACATTTCTAACGCTAAGCACTGATGCCCACAGCCCTTCTGGCAGAAGGCTTCCTCAACATAAGGGGTGAGCCCACCTCTCCTGAGGGGTCTTGGTTACACCAAATACCTCGTGGGGCAGGGTGTGTGGCCTGGGCTCCCGCCAGGGCCCTTCGGGAGGGGCACTGTGGAATATTGCTGTTATCTGCTCCTCATCCATCTTTGACCTATGTCCTACCTTGATTGAGCCCAAGAACAGATTGCTCTAGGGTACGATGGGGTCCTTTGGTCCTAAGGCCTTCTGACCATTTGGTCTCGAGTGATATTCCAGAAGAGGAACTGGTGATGTACAAAAGGATTCAGACAATCCATCTGCAGCGTGGCTGCCGGAGGCAGCTCTGTCCCGGGCTGCGTGGGGGGGGAGGCCCCTTGGCCCCGCCTGGCCCGCTCCCGCTACGTTATAGCTCCACCTTGACCCCTTTTATAAAAGGCAGGCCTGTGGGCACCCGCTTCTTATACTCCAGGTACTCGTCTCCGAAAAAGTGAATTAAAGAGATTTCCTCCTCTTCTGTTCGATCTCGGAAGAACCGCCACACCGTCAGAGCGTAGCCAACGCCACAGATGGGGTTGCAGAGCATCACCTGACAGGGGACACGAAGTCGATCAGGGTCAGAGTGTCCTGACACCGCCAAGTACGGCGGCATCTGCTCCTCCTGCACACCTGGAGGGCTTCCCGCCCGGGGGCCCCAGCGACTCTCAAATACCATCAGGGCCGTGAGAGCCGCGGCCAGGGCACCACTCACTGCAACCACACCGCTACCTCCACACAGAGCTAAATACACATCACTGTCGTTCCCTTTCACCCACATTCCTGTTCCTCTTATGTGACAGAGACTTAAAAATTAAAACATCGACTTTTCAGGTTTCAGTCCTCAGGCTGACGGTAGCTCCTAGCCTGCCTCCCCCGTTCCATGCACCCCCTCCAGCCTGCACCTGCCTGGTCCCCTGCTCCTGGCCCCCCACAGCCCCCCCTCCCCCGACCAGATCCACTGCTACCTGAGCTTATGAAATCACTTCTTTCCTACTCCCCTTTCCCCAGAAAGGCAGCACCTCGGCCACCTCCTCTGGCCCCCTTCCTCCGGGCCGTACCCACCGTGACTGCCTCTCACCTCCTTGCTCACGTGTTTTCCCCGCCCATCCACTGCCAAACAGTCCCTCCAGGCCAAGAACATCTCCCTGCTCTCAGGAACTTCCTGTGCTGTGTGGGAGCCCCACTACCCCACCCCTGCCCGCTCTGACGGACCCCTACGGACACACACCCTGCCCCAGTGGGCAATTTCCACCGAGAGCAAGGCACATGCCCCCAACTCTTATTCCCATCACTCTTTACCGGGCACTTAACTGTATTTCAGGTACAAGCTAAGCCCCTTACAACCAACACGCCCCTACGCTGAACCTCTGAGCAGGCATTGCTGTCCTCAGTGTGTGAGGACAGAGGCTAAGCAGCCAGCGTGGGGGCCAGTCCTGGCCCCGCCAGTGACCCCAGAACCGCATCCTCACAGCCAGCACACACACACGTGTGGCTTCCCGACATGCCCCATACTGGGGTCTCCCAACTGCAGTCCACAACCCGTTAGTGAACCCTGACATCCGTTCAGTGCATCACACACCAAACAGACGACAGGAGTATCTGTACTCAGTAAGTGTCGCTCTGGGAAAGGCTTGTTCCATTTTCACACACGTGTGTGCTGGGCCACAGTGTAAAAAAGACCTATGGTCAAAGAGGTATGAAAAATCCTTATTCCTAAAGCACTTAAATACATAGGTAGGATTTATGGTAAATTACATGGTTGACTATAATCAACTTGTTCCCAGGGAGTGTGATTGTTAACGCAGCAGTCTTAAGTCTCAGAAATGAAAGTTTTAAAATAAATCCTGGGTTGGGGCGCCTGGGTGGCTTAGTCGGTTAAGCGTCCGACTTTTGCTTAGGTCATGATCTCGCGGTTCGTGGGTTCGAGCCCCGTGTCGGGCTCTGTGCTGACTGCCAGCTCAGAGCCTGGAGCCTAACTTCAGATTCAGTGTCTCCCTCTCTCTCTGACCCTCCCCTGCTCACGCTGTCTCTCTCCTAGAAATAAAAACATTAAAAAAAAAAATTTTTTTTTTAAATAAATCCTGGGCGGGGTGCCTGGGTGGCTCAGTTGGTTAGGTGGTTAACTTCATGATCTCATGGGTCAACTTCATGATCTCATGGTTCGTGGGTTTGAGCCCCACATCGGGCTCTGTGCTGACAGCTCAGAGCCTGGAACCGGCTTCGGATTCTGTGTCTCCTTCTCTCTCTGCCCCTTCCACATTCATGTTGTCTCTATCTCTCAAAAAGTAAATAAATGTAAAAACAAATTTTTTAAGTAAATAAGTAAATAAATAATAAAATAAATCCTGGGTGCCTGGGTGGCTCAGCTGGCTAACCATCCAACTCAATTTTGGCTCAGGTCATGATCTCACGGTTCGTGAGATCGAGCCTGGAGTCGAGCTCTGTGCTGACCGGATGCTCTCCCTCACTCCCTGCCCCGCTCATGTTCATGCGTGGTCTCTCTCGAAACAAACTTTATAAAACAAAGAAATGAATAAAATAAAATAAAGATAAATCCTGTACAGTAACCTGCCCCTTCCACGCCTTGGGGGCGGGGTCGCCAGAGAGTCCCAAAAGGACCATGTATTGCCAGTGGAATGCTTGGGCACCCAAACTGGATCTTCTCAAGGAGGTGAGGAACTTCCTAAATTCTGTTCATATTCTCTGGCCAAGTCTTTCTAGGACCAAGAAAACAGATTCAAGAGGCAATGGTCAGAAAACAAGGCTCAGTCTGCAACCTGAGACAGAACCAACCTCTGTAGCTCACATTAAACCTAATACATGACCTTGGCCTCATCAACAGCAGCTTCTAATGAAAATCAGAATCCACTGAAGCAGCAGAAGGCTCTCTCTCCCTGAAGCGCCATCTCGGTTCCCATCCCACAGTGGTGCTCCAGATCGAAGTTGAGGAAGCAGGGACGGGGTAGAGCAGATGGGGTAATAGCACCTAGAATCGCCAGGAGCTTACAAGTTTAGGACACCCAGATTTTAGATACACAGTAAAAAAAATGTTAAGGACTACATCCATTCTTTTGGGTTTTATTTCATTACCACTTGAAACATGACAAGGGGCACATGCATCTATTTACAGGAGATCAATAGGGGCACCTGGGTGGCTCAGTCGGTTAAGCCTCCGACTTCAGCTCAGGTCATGATCTCGTGGTCCATGAGTTCAAGCCCCGCGTGGGGCTCTTTGCTGACAGCTCAGAGCCTGGATCCTGCTTCAGATTCTGTGTCTCCCTCTCTCCCCCCCGCCAAAATAAATAAACATTAAAACAAATATTTCTAAATAAAATAAAGGAGACGATAACCTTGTATACCTGCTGAAATCGCTGAACTGTACACTTTGAAATGGTAAATTTTATGGTGTGTAAGTTAGGTCAATTTTTAAAAATGTAAAAAAATTTAAAGGCAACCACTGCCATGTATACTGTACCTGGGTTCCAATGCTCCAGTAAAACCACCCAACGTAAGAAGGATGCCGAAACCAAGCGTACACTCCACTTGTCACCAGGGTATGCGTTTCTGATTTTTCATTCTGCACCACGTGATTGAAGTTGGACCCAGCTGTGAACATGGCCGCTTTCCTCAGACATTCTCCAAAGACCACCATCAGCAGCCCCAAGGCACTGAGCCACGTGATCTGCTTCAGTTCTGGAGGACAGAGAGGTGACAAACAGGAAGTGAAAAGGCAGCCCGTGGGGCTCCCCCTGGGGGCACTTAAAATTAACCTATTTCTCCAAGGCGAGCAGCATCAGGAAACATGCTAGTGGGCAATTAGCATTTGTCATCACATTAAAATTTAAATATAAGCAAAACACATTCCCCTAAGTTGTGCTGTTCATCTGCTTCAAGTGCCAACAACCCAATTAGAGCATCATGGCAAAGACCCGATGGGCTCTCCACCCGTGTCCCTCTGTCACATGCCTCTCCTTCCCTTGGGGACAAGGACAGCTAAGTGAAGCAGAGAAGGATCCAGTGTTTCCCACCCTGGCCCTTTCCCAAATCCTGGGAACCACATATATTTTATTTAACTTGCTGTGGAAAGTTCCACAGGAGAGTAGGTTTCCAATGCAGAGGTTCCTGCTAATAACCTCTTCACGGGAAAAGTCTCAAGTCACAGAAAATAAACAGATGCAAATTTCTGACTGTAAAATTAGGATTACAGGACTTCCTATGAGGTCATGCGGTCCATTACAGAAGGCTTAAGGCAGACGGTCAACATGTCTTCTGTTCAAAATCCAGAAGCAGAACCCACAAGCTCTGCTCGTCCTTCATAAAGAGCTTAGTGGGGACAGAGAGCTGAGGAAAGTCACTCGGGGAGATTACAGTGGGAGGGGAGCCCACGTCACTGCCCTCAGGCCTGCACAGAAGCTACCCCGCTGCCCTCCAGAGGGAACTGTGGGACACACTGACCTGGCCAGAAGATATTTTCGAGTGTGAACTCTATCCAAGACGAAAGAGCAGCTACTGTGTACTCCAGACTATGATTCAGGAGAAAAGAATCCAAGGATAGACTTTTCGGGTTATTGACTGCTGTGACCAAGTATTCAGAGTAATGGAATAGGGACAAGGAGCACATATACCTATTTAAAAACAAAAAGAAAGAGAGGTCAGTTGGGGCAAGGGAATCCAAGTCAGCCACCAAAATGGAGATCTGGGTCTGCCAAAGTGTCCCTGAATCCTATGAGGAGGTTCTGTCGTCACCTACCTGAGCGTGGACATCAGGCACCCAGATTAACATGGCTCGTCGGGTCTGCAGAAGGTGGGGCTTTAGAAGGTCTATGTTTTGAATGTAACAGGGGGCGCCTGGGTGGCTCAGTCGGTTCAAGTTCAGCTCAAGTCATGATCACACGGTTTGTGAGTCTGAGCCCCGCGTCGGGCTCTATGCTGACAGCTCAGAGCCTGGAGCCTGTTTCAGACTCTGTGTCTCCCTCTCTCTCTGTCCCTCCCCTGCTCATGCTCTCCCTCTCTCTCTCAAAAATAAATAAATATTAAAAAAAAAAAAAAAAAAAAAGAATGTAACAGACCCCACAAACAGACGAGGGTTGAGAAGGCATTAAGGGCCCTGCAGTCTTTTAAAAATGATACCACACACAGTAAAATATGAAAGTGGGACAGAGTCAAAACAAAGCAGTGATGTATGTCATACCAAAATTCAGCAAAACAAGTAACTCCAGCAAAGGAGGATTAGACGGCTCGGAGAAAGCCTGACAGGAGATGAAGCTTTTTACCTTGAAGCCACCGGTTCAAATCCAGGTCAGAGACTAGAAGGCTCAAAGGACTGAAATCATAGTGTAGGGGAAAATCCTACAGTGGCTGTGGGGGAGGCGCTAGATGTGACCTAACAGAAATTAGAGACGGAAAAGACCTGTGAAGGCGAGCAAGAGCCTTGCCCCTTCCTGTCACCTGCACTCTCTCCTGGGAAGGGCTCCTCACAGTACTGATGCCGAGCCTCGCCTACAGAAGGGTCCCGGGGAGACCGGCTTCTGCTTGCAGGAGGGATCTGGGGGGACGCTGGAGACAGCACAGAAGCCTTCAGCCAGTCAGAGACAAGACGCAAGGGTGAGGAAATAGCACTTCTGACCCTCTGAGCCTCCCAATCTCGCCTCAAAGCCACTAGTTCCCAAATACATCTTACCAGCCAAAGTGGTTCCAAGAAGACTGGCTGAAACTTAGCAACATCCCGCAGCCGAACACAAAGCCGAGGAAGCAAGCTCGGATGGCTATCTGAAACGGACCCAAAAGAAGCTCGGTCACCTGGCTGTTCCCTGAGCACACGTCCCACTTCCTGGGATACGGAGGCTACTGGCAAACACGCAGAGCTGATCTGCTCCGAGATTAGGAGGGCGAAGTGGAGGTGCCAGGGGGTCAAATCCCGCATCCACTCCTCTCTGGCTGTGTGGCCTTGGGCAAGTTACTTTCCCTCTCTGGACCTCCGTTCCCAGCATCCCCAGGCACTACGGGGATAAAAACGGTACCTACCTTTTGCTGCGAAGAGGACCCGCATAAAGCACTTAAGAGTTAAGCGCTATGTGTAAGTGCGAGCTACCATTGCTAATTATTATTGCTCTTGTGATTTGGAGCAGTGGGGAAACCGCGTGAACCCAGTTCACCGGCCGGATTCTCCCAAGTCCACGCAGACAGTCGAGTCGGGCCATGCGCGGCCCCGAGCCCAGCCCGCTCCGCTGGCACTGCGGGGGCTTCTGCCCGGACCTGGCAGCAGGTTAAGGGTGTCTCCACACCTCCCATGACACGGAAGAGCTCGCGGGCCCGCTTCCTCCCCACCCCAAGCGCAGCTGCCGAACCGCACCACCTGCAATTTCCCACCCACTCCGCGGGCGAGGGAGGGCCCGCGCCCCCTCCCCTCCCCTCCCGCAGGCCCCGCGCGCCCGGTCCCGCCCTCGCCCTGGCCCCGGCGCCCCCCGCCCCCGCGGCGGCCCGCACCTGGTAGCGCGGCGGCCGGTAGAGCAGCAGCAGCAGCGCGTTGAGCCCGGCCACGTAGAGCGCCAGCCCGGTGCGGCCCTGCAGGCCGGCGCGCGTGAGCAGCGGCAGCGCGAGCACCGAGGCGCCCAGCAGGAAGGTGGCCAGGCTGAGGCGCGCCTCGGAGCCCGGCGGGGCCCGCGCCGCGCAGCCCGCCATGGCGCCCGGCGGCCGACGAGCGGTCGACGGCGCCGGCTGTAGCCCGGGGAAACCCGCCCGCCGCGCCTGCGCACTGCGTCGCCGACGCCGGCCGGGAAGCGCCGCTGCCTGGAGCCGCGCGCCGCCCGCGAGCTCTCGCGATATCGCCGCGCGGCGGGGCGGGGGCCCGGCTTTGGCTGGAGCGCCCCGCCCACGGCCCCGCCCCGTCGGCCCCCGGGGGAGTGGGGGAGGGGGTTCCTCTGACCCAGGCCGAGCGGCGGGGGCCGCGGGCGGGGCGCCTGGGTCCCGCGCAGGGAAGCGGCTGCCGGCGTCTGCCAGGAAGCAGCCCCAAACTCAAGAACGTCCCGGTCCCGAGAAACCGCGCCCTCGGACGGCCCCGCGCGGCGCCCCGGCGAAGCCGACCCCCTGGGCGCGCAGGCGCGAGCCGGGAGGCCCGCCAGGCGCCCCGTGTGCAGACGCACCACCCGGTACCCGCGTCGGCGCGCGGGACCACCGCCCGCTTCGCGGTGAGGGAGCGTGTTGGCCGACGGTGAAAAAGCGCAGGAACGGGCAGAATACGAAAGTTTACAGCGCGACTTTGATCAAAAGCAAACGCAAACGTGTGAGCATGGGGAGAATACTGAAATAGAAGCCAGGATTATTTAACAAGCGGGCACCTTCGCGTGATGGGACTCGGGGTGACAGTCACTCTCTTCTTTATAGGTGTTTGTGTTTTCCGTATTGCCCGCCATCAACATACATTACTTCTTGCATCGGAAATTGTTCTCTTTTTTGGGAAAGGGTTAATGCCCTCTCCTCGGGGAGCTCACAGAGGGATGATGAAGGAGAAAGGCAAGGAAGCAAGTGACCAGAATAGAGTACGATGGGTGGGAGCGGGACAGGAGCCACGTAAGAATGGAGGGGGGGGGACCCCAAGGAGGGGCCTGCAGATGGGCCGGCAGAGGGTTAAGGAGGCAGCTTGGGAGAGATCCGGAGCTAGGTCTTGGGGCACTCAGGGACCGCAGCGTTAGGCTGGAAACGAGAGCAAGGGCATCTGTGGGGAGGGAGGGAGGGCACGCACTGAGTTTGCAGACACAGAGGCAGGAGAAAGGAAGCCTGAGTTGGGATAAGGGACAGGCCCCTGGGGAAGGCTGGAGCCCAGAGTAGTGGGTCAGAGAGAGCGCAGACCAGAGTGTGAGCTGTAGTCAGCCAGGCCTGCATCTGAGCCTCTGGCTGCCCCACTCGCTCATCTGTCCCCGCAGGACCTGGCAGGAGGCCTGACCGCCCAGCATCTGGGCTCAAGGAAGGATGCAGAGCCTGGGATTGAATCCTGGTTTCAGGACTGCCACCGCCCAGCTTTGTAACCTGGGGCAAATCAACTCCAAGTCCCAGCGTCCTGTAAAATAGGGGTCCTAATTTCGCCATCAGGTATCGATAGCCTTGTACCTCCAAAGCCTAGTAGCATGTTTCAGTGGTGCTGAGGAGACATTTGCTAAACTGGGTTCATGGGAATTGAGAGGAGATTTAATGTTTTTGTTACTGTTAAGTCTGTTTAACTGTTTAAAAAGTTTTATATATTTGAGGGAGAGAAAGAAAGAAAGAGAGAGAGAGAGAACAAGTGGGGAGGGGCAGAGAGAGAGAATCTGAACTAGGCTCCGTACTGGCAGTGCAGAGCCGGACATGGGGCTCACAATCACAAACCCTGAGATCATGACCTGAGCTGAAACCAAGAGTCGAATGCTTAACCAAGTGAGCCACCCAGGGTCCCCGACTTTGTATTTTAAAACATGAAATCTCCAGGGCACCTTTTCTGGCCTTTGGCATCTGTTCTCCACACTGACTTAGGGCCCTGATTTTACCCCCAAGGGACCGGCTCCCTTCTGGGGGGGCAAAGAGTAACTTGAAATCCAATTGAGCAAGTCTGAGCAACCCTCTCTCCTCTGCCAATCACTTCCCTTCAGACCGTCCATCTCCATCAGCCCTGATTAGGGAGCGTGGGGCAAGCTGAGGGCAAAGTACAGGCTAACACCCTTACCATAACACCAGGTGGGATATGTGTGATATTCCTCAGACACTCCTGACTGGCCAAGAAGAATGGAATGGAAAGAAAGCAAATGTCTGGCTAATGGAAATCACAGTCACGCAGGACAGGAGTCTCCTTAAGTTTACGGAAAACTTAGTAAACTGCAAGAAAAAGGCCATCTTATGTACTGTCTCATCTCCAGAAACCTATAGACTTCGTTTCCTGGAGCCCTAATATCACCCTCATCAAGATGGAAGGGGGTTTAAGTGCTTGACATGGTGATATGGGAAACAAAGGCAAATGAGAAACTAAATTCCCTTACTGCCCACAACCGGCAGAGTGAGTGACCTTCCTCTAGAAGCTGCCTCCTGACTCCCCAGGATCCTGAGAGTCTCCTTAAGCATGTAAAACTTTTGCAAACCTCCTTTATCTTTAACCCCAAGTATATGTTGGCAATTATATTCCAAGCATATGGCCCCTGATATATATCTGAAGGGTCTTATGACTGAGGTTTTACTGAGCAGTAATAAATGACAGTTTCCTAACAACAGCTAGCGCCTTGAGGTCCTGGAAACCTTTCTTCTAAAATTCCTTAGAGACTTACTCTGTCCCTAACCCCCTCCCAACCTGAAGGTATATATATATAATCAGTCACTCTTCCCAACCCCAGAGCAGCAGTTTCTTCCCACGGGCCCTGTCCCCGTGCTTTGATAAAATCATCTTTTTGCGCCAAAGACATCTTTGAGAATTCTTTCTTGGCTGTGGGCTCTGAACCCTCACCATCATCCCAAAACCTTACCAAACCCCATCTTGGAGAAGGAAGAAAGGAAGGGGAAGCAGTCTCTTCCCAGGTGTGGCCAGACCATAGGGAAGGGGAATTTTTAGAAGAGGCTGGAGTTGCTGAATCTGTTAGGACTCAGGGCTCACGGAGCAGTAAGGGAGGAAACAGGCAAGTAGGCAAAAATACGCACACGATGGCATAGACCCAGAGAAACAAAGTCACACAGAAATACACAGAGTAATAGTAATTCAACACAGCGAGATGGACAGAAATACACACGGAGACCTGCTTTCCTACCAGCGAGAAAAGCAATCCGATCAAAGAAATCCACTCTGCATCTGGCTCTCATCCCCAGGCCAGAGGACAACAAACCTGTAAAAATATCAAAAGATAAAGGAAAACTACTCAGCCCTGGGATGCCTCACTTGCCTTCTTTTGTAAATAAGCATTTGAATGTGTTTTGTTCTTGGAGCTGGGAGGCAAGCACAAAGGGAGCCCTTTCTCATGCAGGAAGGTCCCTCTGAAGGATCTCCCCTGCACGTCCTCCCTCACCGCCCCCATCCTGCTATTCACCCACCAGCCAAGGTGGTTTTCCGTCGTGGGCTTAAGTGCTGATTCCTCCTGTTTAAAGAGTCCTAAGAACCACCTTGACTTTTCCAAGTTAAACTGCAGACCGAGATGAAATTAGCCTCTTTCCTTTCTTTCCCTTTGTTTATTTTGTTAAAAAAAAATTTTTTTTAATGTTTTATTTCTTTCTGAGAGAGAGGCAGTGTGAGCAGGGGAGGGTCAGAGAGAGAGAAGGAGACACAGAATCTGAAACAGGCTCCAGGCTCTGAGCTGTCAGCACAGAGCCCGATGTGGGGCTCGAACCCATGAACCGTGAGATCATGACCTGAGCCGAAGCCGGACGCTTAACCGACTGAGCCACCAAGGCGCCCCCTGTTTGTTTGTTTATTTTGAAAGAGAGTGTGGGAGAGGGGCAGAGAGAACCCCAAACAGGTTCCGTGCTGTCAGCACAAAGTGGGACTCGATCTCATGAACCATGAGATCATGACCTGAGCCACCATCAAGAGTCAAGAGTCAGACACTTAACCAACTGAGCCACCCAGGCGCCCCTCGCCTTTTCCTTAAACGGAGTTGCTTTATGGAGCCAGACAGAAGGTAGGACGAGCAGAGGCCCCGAAGATGCATTATGCAGGGGCTAGCACGAGGTGTTCACCAAACAACCTCACCCCACACCAGTTTCCCAGAATGAAAGGTTTGCTCTTGTCCAACCTTGACACCAAGTAAGAAAAGGTCTCCCTTCTGCCTGCTGGTGGGTCTCTGGTCAGTTATTGTTGGAGGGGCCTCTGAAGCTTCTTGTCACTCATAGGTCCTCTGTCCCATCCACTTCCCACATGGAGGCCAGGAGGGGCCTGTTCATCTCCCCAGGAGGGAACCCTCATCCTCCAACACTTACTTTTCTTCTCCCTCCTCTGGCCATTCTGGGCTCCAGGCATGAAAGCCTCCTGTCTCTAGGCTGGAAACGGGTAAATGATGCGTAATTTATGAGCCCATCAGCCCGAGGTGCCTAAGTCATACGTGCACAAAAGGGCCGGGTAAATATTTAAAGATTAGAGCCAGCTGGGGAGAAACACAAAGGGCTGGGACAATGGGGGTCTCTCTGAATTCACTCTCCCTGAGCTGGGCCAGCCCGGTTCAGTGTTGATGCACTCACCGGAGTCCCACCTTTGTCCCCTGGAGGGCCCTTGGCTGCCAGGCTAGTCGGAGTCCCAACACAGCTAAAGAGAGTTAAACAATCGCAGCCTCTCCAACCCCATCTGGAAACAATCGGCTGAGTCATTTCAGAGCTTTTGCTGTGCCCCAATAGTTAATTACACGAAACAAGCACTTCATTCCACTTTGAAATACATCTGCAGAGAGGCCGGTGCATTTCTTCCCAGCACTCACCAGTAGGTTAGCACTGCCTTCAATCCCGGGGTGCTGCAGGAAGGAAAGGGGGCCTCACCCAGGGTGCAGAGGCTACACAGGGCCATTTCCTGGGAGGGCTCGTAGACTATCTGGTGCGGCTCTTGGCCTGGAGCCTGCATCCACCCTCCCTCTCTCCTTTCCAGACCCTAGTTGCCCTGTAACATTTTTTTCTTTAGACAAAGTGGAGAAAACCAAAGGGGAAAGGGAGAACAAAAACACAGGTCACATTTTGCCTTCAATTCCCCAGCCCGAGGAAGCAGAGGACTCTGAGTGTTCCTGCAATCCCCTGGGAGGCCGCCAGAACTATAGAAGGAATTTTTTCCTTGAATGAGCAAAGGGCAACGTGAGTCTCCCCAGCGCTTTGCAGGGAACGCGTGCTCCTTTCCAGGCCCCCTGGGGAGCCCAGATGCTAAAGATGGAAAGGGAGTCGGTGGCCTACATCCCAGTTTGCACAAGCCCGGCTTCTAAGTCCATGTCCTTCCCAGCAGCCGGAGAGGCTTCGCCCTGCTTGCTCTTAGATAAGGGGGCGAGGGCGTGCCGCCCCTGCCACCCCACCCCGGAAAACGCACCCGCCCGACCTCTACGCCCGCCTTCGGAGCGCCCGCCTGCCTGTGAGTGTGCGGAGGATGGCCTAGCTCAGGACTCAGAGCGGGGCAGGAGCGGAACTGGGTCTGAGTGGGGAAGTGACTGCCCAGGAGCCCGAGGTGCGGGTAAAATGGGGATTTCTCCGGGCGCGGGAAGAAAGGGAGGATGGAATCCGCACCGGGATGTTTCAGCCCTGAGTCCTGCCCGACCGTCAGCCGCCTCAAGGGCGGTTCGGAAACCCGGAAAGCAGGGAGAAAATCAGCCTCGGTGGGGAATCGCGGGGCTCCAGCCCGGGGACTTGTCCCGGGGTGGGGGGTCAATGGGGGCGTAGGCGGCGGTGCCGGGGTGGCGGGTAAGGGGCGGCGAGGCGGCGGCCCAGTAAGTGGGCGGAGGCAGAACGTGACGGCTGCGCGGCCAGCCCAGACCGCCCCCCAGCCCCGCCGCCCGCAGCCAAAGCAGAACATTGCGAATTAGCTCATTTTGCGGTCAATTTTCCACTAGTTAAGAGCACACGAGGCCCCTCACGTGAGCGGCCCCACCCAGCGCGGCCGGGAGCCTTCCGCTCGGGCCCAAGAGGAGTGACGGCCCGAGGGGCTGCGGATGCCGGGGTGCGGGCAGGGGCGGGCCGCGGGCCCCTTTATGGCGGCCCTAACTCTGGCGAGGGGGCCGGCCCGGAGGGCAGCGCCAAGGGCCATTGGTTTGCTAATGCGCCCGAGTTGAAAGGCGCAGGCGGCGGTTTATGGGGAGGGATCATAATTAGAGGACAAATTGCCTCGCAGCCCGCGCGGCGCGGGGGCCGGGGCGGGGGCGGAGGGCGACCGCCGGAGCGAGGCGCGCGCCCGGCCTCGGTGCAGATGTGCGGCCGCTGGAAGCCGCGCGCAGCGGGGCGCCCGGAGTTTGGCCCCGAGGGGGCGGGCGCGGGCGGGCTTTGTGGGGCCGGCACAATGCCCTTAACACTCGGCTGCCCCCTTTGTGCCCGGCCGAGCCGCTCGCCTGCCCCGCGGCGCCTTTGTACCGAGCCGCCACCGCCCCAAGCCGGGGAAACGCACGGAGGCCAGCGGGGCCCGATCAGCCCCGGCGCTTCAAAGCTGCCCGGCGCGTGCCAAGGCCTGCCGTCCGGCCTCGGCCCCACCGCCCGCCCCGGCCCCGACCCGGCCCGAGCTGGCCCTCGGGTCCTGCGGCCGGGGCGGAAGAGCACCTCCGAGCCGGGGCCGAAGCAGCCTAGGCCTCGAAAGGAGGGCGGAGCGCGATTCTCCACGCTGCTTGGCTACTGGGAAGCCTCTGCGCCAAGCGGGGCCCAGCTATACTCCCGGCAGGGGGCGGGTGTGGGGGAAGAAGATACCACCGCTCCAGGGAGCCGGGGGCCCATCCAGGACCCAACAGTCTCCCTTCCCCCTTACGCTGAGTCCCCCGCAAAGCGGATTTGTTTATTCCTCTGCGGCAGGGCTCAACTGCACAACTTTTGCGTTGATGCCACTTCCTTGCCCTGGCGAGTAGCTGTGGGGGCCCGCTTTGGTCGGAATCCCATTTTACAAGCCTTGAACCTGGGGCCCTGCGAGCCCAGGACCGGGAGATAACTGGGGATGAACCCAGGGACGTCAGTCTGTCAGCCACAGCTACTGGAGTCCTGTGCCTGGGGCCCAACCCGGGACTGCATCAGTCCTGCCTTAAGGCCTAACAGGTCCTGGGTGGGGGTGGGGTGCCTCCGCCACTGAGCTGCCTGGGTCTCCACCCACAGACCGAATAATGACCAGTATTTGGGGGTCCCAGACCTGCAAGGGCACAGAACGGTGCTCTTGCCATATGATCAGTGATCTTTCCCCGTCACCTTTCATTTGTTGGGAGCGAGAGAAGTCCGGTGGCAATAAGCTGTGAGGGAAAGTGTCAGAGTCTGAGTTGTCCAGCCTGGAAACTCAGGACTGCAACTAGTCTTGGCTTGAGGCTGCCAGCAGCCTCCCCCCAGCCAGAAGAGTGTGGATTGGGGCCTAATAGGGCCAGAGGCCATGAGGCCAGGATGCACCTGAGCGCAGGAATGCTCCCAGTCCAAGACCCCAGCTAGGAGGAGACTGGCTGTGGCCCCGAGGGCGGGCTGCATGCTTTAATGGGACACATGTCGCTGTGTGGCTCCCTCGGGCCCAGCCTGTGCCCGGCTTTGAGCAACCACAGGCAGAAAATCGCTGCATTGTCCCAACATTAGGGCGACTAATGTGGCGTTGCCAGCGTGGCCAGAGCGTGAAACCCGCAGAAAGGCCTTGCTGGTGGGTCCTCCTGACTCCGCATCTTCATCAGGCCCACAGAGGCCTGGCATGTTGTCAGAGTCATTAGCGGGGCTCAAAACCAGCGGGACCCACAGACCTTCCTCAGTGGGTGCCCCCCAGAATGCTTGGAGACAAGGGACGGCAAGCACTAGATAAGTGGGGCTAGTGAGGCTCAGTCCCTAGGGACACTAAACACGGGGACAGAACAGGGCATGGAGGGATGTGTATGGGTGGGGACCCCAGACTCAGGAAGTAGTGGGGATGAAAGGGATACGGGGGACAGGCTGGGAAAGGGGAAGAGGGGCCCCTTGGAAGAAAGGAGGGTTTCTGGAGGTGAGGCCGAAGCCTGGGCTTTGAGAGGGGGTCGGACAGAGAGAGGTGGGGAATTTCCCAGTGCATCCCCCCCTCATCTCCTCCCCCTCGGGGTTCCTCGAGTCCAGGAGCGCCTCATTGACATGTAAACGAGGAGCCCCTATAAAGGCAGCACTGCCTCCCACAGGCACAGATACGAAGACATGGGCACTAAGCCCGAGACCCAGGGCAGCTCCGGTGGCCACGCCGGCGGCTTCCGCAAGGTCTGGGGTCCTGAAGGGCGCAGGGTGTGGGCCTGCCAAGCCGGGGGTAGGGTGGGGCAGAGGGCAAGAGGCCCCTGGCCCTACTCTATAATGCCACCCCTCCACAGATCTCCAAGCCACTGATGGAGAAGAAGCGACGGGCACGCATCAATGTATCGCTTGAGCAGCTGAAGTCCTTGCTGGAAAAACACTACTCCCACCAGGTGAGATGTAGGGATGTGGTGAGGTGGGCGTGATATGATCCCCAACCTCATCCCTTCCAAGTCAGACTGTACAACTAAGAGCGCTTTCCACGGATCCACAGATCCGGAAACGCAAGCTGGAGAAGGCGGACATACTGGAGCTGAGCGTCAAGTACATGAAAAGCCTTCAGAACTCGGTTCAAGGTGGGAGGGAGTCTGGAGGGCATAGGGCAACGATCTGTGGTGGGGGTGGGGGTGGGGGGAGTTGTGGCGTCAGACCCGTGGATATGACAAGGTCAGATAAAGGAGGGATGGATGGAGAAGGAAGCTCGGGGCAGTGGGCAGCTGGGTGAGAAGGTCCCAGATTGCTGGAGGCAGGAAGCTGCAAAGACCCTGCAGGATAGTGCAGTCGCAATCGGGGTGAGCGAAGGTCTGGAGCCTGGGAAAGAAATTCAGGTTGTCTAGCCCCTCCCCTCCCTTGCCCGCCACTTTTCTCCCCTCCTTTCCTCTCTCTACACCTCTCCTTTCCTCCTCCCCTCTCCTATTCTTCCCTCCCCTTCACATTTCTCCTGCCCGCTCCCCTCCCCCCAGGGCTCTGGCCGGTCCCCAGCGCAGCAGAGTTCCCGTCGGGCTTCCGCAGCTGTCTGCCGGGAGTCAGCCAGCTTCTGCGGCGCGGAGAGGAGGGCGGCGGCGGCCTGCGCTGCCCCCTGGCGCACGAGCGCGCAGGGGGCAGCACCATGGACAGCGCCGGCCCGAGCCCGGAGGCGCCGCTTGGCCCCTGCGTCCCCGCCATGTGGGCCCCCGCTCCGGCCATCGGCGGCTCGCGGTCCCCGCCACCCAGGTGCCTCTTTTCTGGGGGTCTCCCCGGCCCGACCTCCAGCGTCCCGGGGCCGCAGCCGGCGCCTCGCCGCTGCGCCGAGAGCCCGGGGCCGGGTCTGGGGGTTTGGCGGCCCTGGTGAGTCCCAGCGCGGCCGCCGACTCCAGAGGGCCCCCGTCTGGCCCGGGGGCGCAGAGACTGTTTAGGGCGCGCCTGCGATGATGGCCGGGACCCCGGTCTTCCGTCTTGGTTCCAGGGCAGGAGAGGCTGGGAGAGTGCCGCGTGCCCGCGAACGCGAGGAAATGCACGGAGCCTCAGGGCGCGCGAGGGGGTGGGGGGACCGGGCCCATCCCCCACCCTAGCCCCACCTACTCAAGCTGGACCCGCTCTCTCCTCTTCCCACCTTCTCGTGGGCTGGGAGGGCATGTCCCAGGCTGCTCCTCTTTCCCAGGGCCCCCGGCGGGCAGCCCGCCCCCGCCCCCGCCCCCGCCCCGCAGCCTCGCCGCTGTGGGAAGGTCGCCGGCGGCGGCGGCGCAGAGCGGACCCCTCGCAGCGAGGAGAATTGCTGCCCCGCCCCGGCCCATTCAGCCAGCCGAGGACGCCCGGTTCCCACCGGCACAAAGCGCGCCGGGCCCCGCCCAGCCGGCGAGGGGCCCCCAGCCCACCCCCACCTTGGACCTTCTCGGCTTCCACGGGTCCCCACCCCCTCTGCACGCCGCGAGGCCCGCCCGCCGGCGCGCGCTCTGAGGTCCGCCCATCGCAGAGGAGCTGCCCCCAGCTGCCCGAGCTCAGCAGCCAGGCCCGCAAATGCTCCCCCCGTCGCTCGGGTCACCCCACACCCCGCAGCGTGCGGCTCCGGAGGGTCCCGGCCGCCTGGCCTCTGTTGCCGCCGCAGAACCCGCGACCCTCGACGGCCCTTCGAGCGCTCCGCGCTTGTTTGTTCTTCCGAAAATGAGGTCGTTGCTGTGCTCCGACCCTAGCGTGGGGTCCCGGTGCTCGAGGGGGCGGGAATCCTCTGCTGCGCCCTGGGAGAGATCCTGGTACTTCCAGCTTGAAATTCAGAATACAGATAGTGAGAACCTGTGAAATGGGTATAAAGAGACCATGGAAGTCCACATTTCTCCCACGATACCTACTTGGGTGCATCTTTTGAACTACAAATAACCGACTTTCTATAAAACGTTTCCCCTAAAGGGAAACACTGCTTTGCCTGTGTGTGCTAAACCCGTTCTGGTTAGAGTGCGGTCTGGCTCCCCCACTCCACCCATCAGTCTCTCTGGAGCGCAGGCGGGGAGGGGGTCCCGGCTGTGGCGGTCGGTGGGGGGTGGCCTCTGGGGTCTCGGCCTTCTGCTGTGTCGTGCGTGGGCTAGTGGGGGATGGGGGCAGCCGCACTAACCCCTCTGCCAGCCACTAGGTGGCGACCTTATACCGAGGACCCGGGAGCGACCTCCAAACTCCTACCCGGGCTGGAGCAGGTCACGAGGCAGGAGAGGTCTGGAGCCCCCAGGCCCTGCCCTTCTTGCTCTCCCGAATCAAACTCACAGGGGCTAAACACCCCTGAAGCCATTCCTGGTGCTGGGGCTGCCAGTTGAGCTTCTGGGGCTTTTCCTGCTCTCAGGGCTGTGGTGCGGACCCCAAGGCTCCATCCTGCCCCTGCTCCAGGCGGGTCTCACTCGCTGGGTGGGGCTGCAACGCTTGCATAGAAAAGGGGCACTGACCCAACGGGCGGAGCACTGGGATGACTTCTGGACCCGGAGGGAGGGACATTGAGGGGCAGCTGGCTAGCAGTGCTGCTCTGTTCTAGAAAGGTGTTTCCATGAAACCACCCTAGGAATGCGAGGTGCAAATCATAGGAAGTTTTTATTGTATTCTGTACAGAAGAGAAATGCTCAGTTGTCAAAAAAAACTACAAACGGATTCCTGGCTCTGGGTGGGCTGTGGTCTGAAGACACAGCTCCCTCCCCTATGAGCCTGGGGCCAAGCTGCTTATCAACGCAGCAAATAGGCCCGGAGGCTGCACAAAATGTGAGGGGGGGAGACCCAGGGTCCTCCGTTTGGGGTCCTCCCTCTTTATTTTTGTAAAAACCAGAACTGGAGGGATTTGGGGGTATCATGTCTCCCTGCAAGTATTGCCATTGGATATGAAATACACAGAGTAAAAACCCGATGTGACCTTGGGCCGGCCTGAGCAGGGGGCGGGGCCGGGGGCTGACAGCGGCGAGCTGTCCATCTCTGCCCCCACTCCTCTTGGTCCTTGAAGGCACAGCAACATTGGCCAGAGGCGGCCCCTCTCGTGGCTGGGGCTCTAGTGCAGTTTCCTACCCTGCTCACCAGTGGAGGGCTCCTCCCTCCCCAGGTACCCCACAGCTTAGGACTGGGGGGGGGGGCTCTGAAGCTGAGATGGAGCTGAGTAGTCCCCTATGCTCGCCCCTCCCAGGGCTAAGACCTTGTGGGGGGGCCAGTGAGGAAACAGGCTTGACCACCGGAGGGTCCGGGGCCTTGTTGCAATCCCAGGCTACACAGCAGGAGGGAACACAGTGCCAGCCGGCTCCACGCAGGCCCTGAATCTGCTAGGGGTTTGCTGTGTAGGGGCCTTTGTGGAGAGGCAGGGGCCAGGATGAGGCAGCCTCTGCATTTGCCCTTGTCTTCAGCTCAAGGTCACAGCTGTTCCTGGGCTTCTCCTTAGCCGGAGCCTAGGGTCTTTCTACACAGAAGACCCAGCAGAGGCCCTTCCTCAAGACCCATGGCAAAGCAAAGAGCCCTGTCCGCAGGGTAGGGGAGGACCCTCACCAGGGATCGGGCCCAGAACCCGGGAGGACTCGGAGCCAGGACTCCTTCCCTGGGACATCAGGATAAGAAAGCCCGCCCTCCCTTTGCTTCAGTTCTTTCCCATCACGGACCCACGGCCTTCATGATGGGAGTAGTCACAGGCTGACGTGGAGGGGAGGCAGGGATGGCAGAGTGTTGAGGGTGCGGACACTAACAGTGGTCACAGGTGGGTGGTGGCTCAAAAGTGCTGTGCTTTAGCTGGGGTGTGTTCCTGGGGGTCCAGGGGCACTGAGAGTGGGAGGCCTCGGGTGCAGGGGCCACAAGAGGCCACACACTGAAGACTGGCCCCCCGGCAAGGGCCCACAGAGGGCCCTAGGTGCTCTCACACCCTGTCCATTCAGGAGCCAGTGCACACGGACCAGGAGACTTCTCCAAAGAGTCCTGAGAGTTAACATAGTCACCTGCTCAAAACAGATGGGGAAACCGAGGCAGAACTGGTCAGCAGGAAGGCCTGCTCAGAGAGCCTGTTTGGGCTTCGAAGACCCCTGTGCTTAGAGACCCTCTGTACCTTGCCCCTCACGGGGGTGAGACAGTTACTGTGTGAGGTGGAAAGCAGGGTGCAGCCGGGTGGCTCCTGCAGGGCTGGGCTTTGTTCCGTCTAGCGGGTGGCCCTGTCCCCTGGCTCCCTGCTGCCACCCCCACCCCATGCCCCCTATCCAGCCGCCCTGGGGCTGGGCGAGGTGCAGCAGGGCCTTTACCCAAGCCTGCCTCGCTCTGCCCCGAGATGCAGTACCCCGCAGCGGGTCCGGGCGCTCGCTCCAGGCAATGCCTGTGGCTCAGTCACGCAGGGAGAGCTGGCACATGGCCGGGTGCCGTCGGCGGGCCCCGCATGGCGCTGCCCGGAGCCCAGCTTGGGTCAAGCGCGGCATCTTTGGTGCTTCGGTCCCTGCGGGCGGCCCGGCCCGCCGGACGCGCGCGTGGGGAGGCGCCTGTGGGCTCTAGGACGCGGAGCCCAGTGAGTCCGAGTGCAGCGTGACGTAGCCCGAAGACTCGGAGGGCGAGCTCAGGAAGCTGCTGGTGCTGCCGCCGCCGCCGCCGCCCGCCGCGCGCAGCCCCCCGGGCTCGCCCCACGAGGCGCTCAGGCCGGTCCGCAGGGGTCCCGCGCGCGCGTGCGTGGCCGGGCGCGGCCCGCGGCTCCGCTGCGAGCCACCGCCGCCAGGGGGCGCCGCGTCTTCGCCGGAACGGGCGCCGTCGAGGAGGGGCCCCTGCGGGGCGGGCGGCCGGCGCAGGGCCTGCGGCTCGCTCTCGAAGGCGGTCAGCGCGAAGGCGTCGGGCAGCAGCGAGGCCGAGGCGGAGCGGGCGCCGGGCCCGGGGCGGAGGCGAGGGCCGCAGGCGGGCGCCGGGGGGCGCAGCGACAGCAGGCTCTCGGCCGAGCGGCGGCGCGGGCGGAACGGGGGCGCGTCCTCCGCGAAGGCCAGCAGGCTGCCGCGGCGTCGGTCGGACCCCGAGGGCAGCACCAGGGCGGCCAGGTCCTCGCCCGAGCCCCAGCGCGGCAGGAAGGCGGGCAGCGGCACGGCGGCCCACACGTCCGCGTCGTCGTGGGAGAAGCGTCGTGTGGCCGGCACCTGTCAGGACGGGCGGGGTTAACCCGGGCCGCCCTCCTGGAAAACGGGACCGACGCGGGGCTCAGCGAGCAAAGGCCTTGGGGAGGTCACGAGCCTCCCCCCACCTGCATCTTCAGTGTCTCGGGCCCGGCCCGGTCCCTACCTGCAGGTACTGCGTCTTGTCTTCCTGCAAGGGCCGCAGCGGGTAGAACTGAGGCAGGCCCCCCTCCAGGGCAGAGAGCTCGTACTTGGCCATCCTGTCCAGGGCCACAAAGTCACCCCCATAGCTGTAGTCGAGTGAGTGCTCCAGCACCAGGTCTGGGGGGATGCCACCCTCCAGGCCGGGATCTGCAGGGCGAAGCAAAAGCTTAGGGGCCATGGAAACCTGGGGGCATCAGAGAGTGAGAGCCCAGGCGCTGGTTAGTGGAAAGGGGGAAGGGCAGGGTCCTGGGTTCAAATCCTGACTGTGCTACCTTTTGGCTGGGGGAATGGGGGCCTCGCCTGAGCGGGGCTCCTCCTCTATGGGGCTGGGATGTGATCTTACCTGGTGGGCGTGGGGTCTGACGGCAACTGGTACATAGCAAAGGCTCAACCCAGGCTAACACTGTAATTATTGGGGTGAGGCAGCACCCGTGAGGGCCTCTAAGGGGGAAAGCTCTGGGGAGCACATTCAGTCTGGTGTCCACAGAGAGATACCGCCCGGGACAGCCAGGCTGGAGAGGAGAACGCCCCCAGGAGACACGTAAGAATGGGGTCACGTCAGTGCCACGGGGCAGTCACCTGATAGCTGTCACCCGGCTGACCTCGCCCAGGCCGCGTTCTCCCTGGGGCCTCTCTCAGGCCTTCCTCACCGTTGTCTGAGTCCTCCTCGTTAGCCATGAGGGCCACGCACTTCTCCCAGACGGCCTTGAGGTCGGCGCGGTAACGGTCGCAGGCCCAGAGGAACACGGGCAGCAGGAGCGCCTGGGCCACGGAGCACCACAGCACACACAGCGCCATCCAGGGCGCCGAGGCGTCCGCCCGAAGGCTGCTGAAGCTCACCACCTGCGGGCACGGGGCTGGGCCTGGCACCTGGCAGCACCCCCTCCCCCCTGCCCTCACCTCTCCCGCCTGCGGGAGGAGGAGGCAGCACACAGAGCTATAGGCTCCCGGGCCGGAAAGAGCCAGAGGGTGAGGGTGGAAGTCTGTGTCTGCCGGGAGCTGCTGGCTGCCCAGATGAACGGCCATAACCCGGTGTGTGCACGGACGGTCCTTCCCATCATGCCGGGCAGCACGGGGCGGGCCTTCCCTCACTTCAGCCTCGTGACCGTCCAAGGAGAGAGGTGGGGGTATGGTTTACCCGTCCCGTTTTTGGGAAGAGGAAACTGAGGTTTGGAGAACCAGGCCTCAGGCTCCCCAGTTCCGGGGCTTTTTTGCCATCCTCACCCTTCCGTGGCCAGTGGCCTCTTTGGCTCTTCCCCTACGTGGGGGGTGGGGGGTGGGGTGGCGAGTCTGGGCCACGGAGCTCAGAGGAGAATCAAAGCAGTTTCTGAGAATCACCCAGGCAATCCAGGCAGCCTTTGGGTCACTGTCCAGGGACCCTCATTCCTCCTCTCCCAGGAAAGTCCCTTCCCCCACCCTGAGTGACATTTAATTATTCTCCCATCAGAGAAGTGGGTATGATACACTCATCACACTGGTTCCACTGTATGAGCTGTGTGACCCTCGGGAAGGTGCTGAACCTCTCTGGGGCTCAGTTTCTTCATCTATGAAATGAGCCAAGAACACCCCACGGACTGAGGTCAAGATCTGACACCAAACCAGGCCTACAGCATGGAGTGGGCTCCATAAACAGCGTCCCCTTCCATGCCCCGGAGACAAGGTGGGGGGAGGCTCCTCCTCCACCACCGTCCCCCTGTGGCTCTGACGTGCCGCACACGCTCCTCCTCTCCATCAGCATAGACCGGAGACGCAGGGCCCCCCCGAACACAGGAGAGCCCAGCCCCCAGAGGGGGGTGGCAGGCCCACTGAGGGTGGGGCCACAGGTTCCCTGGGACTGCATCTTGAGTGCGTCCGCTATGAGGCTGCCACCTCACCTGTCACCCTCTGGAGCTTGTGACCTGCAGTGACCAGGGGCACAGCCCTGCCTAGCTGCTGGGATAAATTCTCGGGCCGGTCCTTGCCCCTAGACCCCTTCCTGTCCCACCCCAGACCCTTCAGGGCACTGGGCGGGAGCCCTATGGGTGCAAGGTCATGGCTGTTGAATCCAGACTTTATTCTTGGGGGAGGTGATCACGTTACTCCACCTCCTACATCCTCTGCTTGAATGGGCCTCCCTCTGGTAAGGACTGTCCCCAGCAGTGTGCCAGAAAGATCCTGGGGTCATCTGACTTGGACTCAAGTGCTAATGCAGCTGCCTGAACTTTAAACTTTAGGTGGGTCATTTTACCTCTCTGAACCTCAGTGTCCAAATCTGTAAAATGGGGATGATGATAATGCCTGCCACCGTCCCCCCCACCCCCACCCCGCCGCCCCACAGGACTGGGTGGGAGGATCCAACCACCTGATGCCTGGAGCATGCCTTAGCCCCAGGGCTGTCCCGGAGCCCACATCCCAGACAGGCTCCCACCAGCTGACAGTCTCACCCACCAGCACTGGGAAGCCCATGAGGCAGTCGTAGATGATGACGATGGTGGCCACCAGGCCCGTGATCTGCAGCGAGGTCTTGGCGGGCTCAGAGCCATCGATGGAGGAGCGGCGCTTGCCCTGAGCGTCCTCCACCACGATGGTGGGCACGGTGAAGGCGCGGCGGCCGGCCCGCGGCCCCACGTGCACGGCCAGCGTCTGGAAGAGGGCGATGGCTGTGCAGACCACACCCATGGCCACACTGCCGCCCACCAACAGCAGGAAGCAGACGCCAAAGCCCAGGCCGATCTCAGCCACGATGAAGCGGCAGCCGTGGGTGTAGAAGCGCTCGCTTGTGTCGTGCCAGCCGACGGCAGGCAGGGCTGAGAGGATGAAGGACACCATCCAGATGCCCATGACCGTGTGCACTGCCTGCTTCTTGGCGTTGCTCAGCCTGACACGGGGTAGGGACAGGACCGAGGTGTCACTCACAGGGTCTTCCCAGAGCCCCGGGGACCTGCAGAGGATCCCCGACTGCCCTGGACTCCTAGTACGTCGTCGTCACAATGGGCAGCAAAGTGGAGCCTTGTTCCGTGCACAGGGGACACTCGTGCACGTCGTCACACATCCCTCTCAGCAAGCATTTCGGTACCAGACACCACGTGCCCCCGTGCACACCTGCACCTGCGTGCCAGCCGCGGCCCAGGACCCTCCGGAGCCTCCCAGTCTGCCCACCCCCCACGTGTGACCCGGGTGCGGCACTGAGGCTGGGGGCATCATCAGCACCCTGGGGGCATTTGTGCGCCCAACGTTCCTCGTGTACACTGCCCACACGCCCCCTCTCTACCAACGCCAGACACGGAAGTGCGTGCCCGCGCGCACACACACGCCCCAGAGCTCACCGGTAGTTGACCGGCCAGCGGACCATCCACATGCGGTGGTAGGAGAGGGAGGTGACGGAGAAGCAAGTGGCCAGGGTGAGGGTGTAGAAGGTGGAGACGAAGACCTTGCAGAGGCCCTCATTCCACTCGTAGTCGGGGCGCTGCCGCCGCAGCTGCACCACAGCGTATGTGGTGATGGGCACCGCGACGTTGAGCATGTGGGTGGCCGCGAGCGTGCATAGCAGAAACTCCAGCGGCTTCCACTTCTTCTGCTTGGCACCCACACTCAGGATGCCCCAGGCATTGGCCAGCAGGGAGAGGCCTCCGCACGCCAGCCAGCCCACGGCGCTGCCAGACAGCCGCCGCTCATCACTCATGGTGCAGACGGGCGCCGGCCGGCAGCTGAGACATCTTCTTCGGGGCCAGGCCTCAGCTGGGAGCAGCGGCCCTCACGCGTGGCAGCTGGGAGACGCCAGGGACCACGAGCATCTGCAGTGGAGGAGAAGCCCATGAGTGCTGGGAGACTGTCCCTCTGGCTCCTCAGAGTAGGGGATGGGGGGGTCTCCTGGTGCACCATTGCCTGTGTGGTCCTGACCTGGGCTGCTTTGCCCTCCTCTCCCCTCTGGGGCCTGCAGCCCATGGCCCTGGCAGCCAGGCGACATGGCCAGGGGTGCCCAGTAAAGTGCAAACATCCTCCCTTCCACCCGCTCCTGGCCAAGGTATGAGTCTGGGTTTGCTTCCAGGACAGCTGCGTCCATCCTGGCTGGGCATCCCCCCCGTGCCCTGGGCCTGCCCGGAACCGGCACTCTCACAATCAGTGTCCCCAACCCTCACACAGCCCGTGCGGTGCGTCCCTGCTGCACATCAGGGGCCCTTATCTTAACCTGTCCCACTTCATTTGGCCAAATAAGGACGTGCCTTAGAGAGTGAGCCCCGTGTGTGCCACCCGGTGACCACTTCCGTGGGCAGCCTGCTTTGCCTGGGTCAGCCCCCAGCACCGCCACAGGCTGGCACTCAAACTAAGCTCCAGTGTGCCAGCTGTGTGGCAAGGTTCCCGCACCCAGGTCCTCTGTAAAGGGGATGATGATGATTCCTCCGGGGTGAGGCTGCGGTGGACAGACGCCGCCTCCCGGAAGCCCTGGGCCAGGTCTCACGCCCAGTGGGCGTTCTGGGTGGCCACGCTTATGCTCTGGGTCCAGGTCTCGCACACGGTGGTGCTCTGGGGAGGCGATCAGTATTATACTGTGGATGCCTTAGACAGCATGGGTCTGGAGACAGCCCGGGGACCAGACCTTGACCCCAACGAGGAACGGCTGACAGCCTACGGCCATGAGCCAGGGACACAGGAAATTGGGCAGAACGCACATGTTGGAGAGGCACTCCATCCTGCCAGACGGAGGCCCTCCCTCCGCCTCCCAAGCCCGGCAGCCCTAAGCCACCTCCCCTTGCGGAGCACTGGCTGGTCCCTCTGATATGAGGCCCCGACAGTAGGACAATCTGGCCGCAGCCGGGAGCAGGCAGCATGGGGGGGAAGTACCATACTATGTGAAGGCCTCCTATGCGCTCTGCGTATATTTAGCCCTTCTTACTAAGGGCCCGTTTAATCTTACTGGATGCAATTCTCTTGCCCCCAACACTTCTGAGCACCTGCTGTGCCAGACACAGCCATGGGATCCCCCAGGGACTGATTCCAGCTTGGGATGGCAGGGCGCTGCAGGCCCCTGGCTCTCTGGGCCGGGAAGGAAATACCACTTGGCCCCTTCTTGTCTTGTCTGGAGTTCTTTTGGTCTGTCTGTGGCCTGATCCCCTTGGACACTGAAGGACCTCTGAGGGATGTGTGTCATTCATCTCCCTGTCCCTGCTGTGGGCCTGCCCGGTGACCCAGGGGAGGCGGCTATCCTGGCCCAAACCAGTGCTCCTTAAAAGTCTCCTAGGAGGCTGGGGGAGTTCTTGGGCCAGGGAAATTCGCTCCCAAACATCAGGCTTCTGCTTAGAGCATCCTCCTCGTCCCCACTCCAGGCCCAGTGTGGGGAGATGGGGTGGCCCTGTCGGACCCTCCACCAGCCATTCCAGTGACCGGCAAAACTCTTTGATGTCAGCATACGGAGGCCACATGGGGTGGGGTAAAGAGCTGCTAGACTCTGCCTCTAGCTCTCCAGCCAGTTACTTGACTCAGCTGGGCCTCCTTTTTCTCATCTATAAACTGGACACGATAGTACCCACCTCGGAGAGTGCTGTGGGTAGTAGATACACTACGCCAAGGAACGCAGCCAAGCACACAGTAAGCGTTCAACAAATGCTTGCCAGGTAGAAGTCTGTACGACAGCCCTCTCTGCTCACTGAGCTCTGCTGTCCCATAAGGACCCAGATCCTGAGCTTGGAGGTGTGGGTAAGCCTCAGACCTGTGTGGGTAGACACAGTCACCTCAACCGGAGCCTGGGACAACCCGACTTTGGGGTGAGGAGAGCACAGGGCGTACTAGGGTTTAGAGCAGGCAGGATGTGGGTGCTGCTGGGGGACCAGAGGCCACAGACACCGGTGATCTTTACATTGTCCAATAGGAAGCTGGATTCATGCACCTGGTGGACTGGCATCTGTTTCCATCGGCGCTGGGTCTCCCCGGCTATCATACTGGGGGCCTTCGCTCCGATGCCCCACAGGCTCTGTGTGACCCCTATAACCCTGGGCCCTGTTGATCACTGGTGCAGGGGGTGGGGAAGGTGCCACAGGCTGCAACTGGCCAGGTCATCCCCTCGTCTGGCCTAACAGACTCTCACTGCAGGGAAAGGCCCTAGTTCCGTCGGTTGCCTGGAGAAGGTGCCACACTCCTGGTGAGCGCCCCCAGGGATGCTGCGGGATAAATACCAACAGTGTCCCCATTGTAAAGATAGTCAAACAAAGAGAGAGGTAAAATCATTAGCCCCAAGCTACGATGCGCCTGATCCAGGACCCAACCCCCGCTTGGCTGACATCAGAATCCTGGCCTCTCAAACCCAAGCCCAAACCCGAACCTGAACCCTAGCGGGAACAGGCATTTTTATTCCTTGAACCGAGGTTGCCTTTCAACCCCCTGTGACTGCAGGATGGGTCCTTCTGTTCCCACACTGCGGATGGGAACACTGAGGCTCAGAAGCCAGAGCAACACAGGGAGGAAGTATGAGGGCCGGATTTGCAGCCCAGGATTCCAGAGAGCGGTGGTCCTGGGGAGAAATGTTACTGGGGTGGAGGTGGGTGGAGGTGGGGAGTGGATTTCCAAGGTCTCCAAATTCACACTGAAGGGGGTTGATGACCAAAAAACCCACTGATCACAGGCCTGCTGTTCATTCTTCACAGGGAGCAGCGGACACTGAGGGCCGGACCCCAGGCTGGGCTGCAGCCCGTGCGGTCCGCACCCAGGGGTCGCCGCCCCCTCCTGGGAAGTTTCTCCCGCAACACGCCCCCAGCGCTCTCCAGCATTTCGGGCTGGGGCTTCTTGCCTCCCTCAGAGCCTGGAGCCCCGCCTTTCTCCCCTCCCCCCACAGCACGTCGCAGGGCCGCGGGCCCGGGACCCGCGGGTCCGGAAGACTTCCCTCCGCAGGGTCTGCGGGCGGGGCCCCGGCGTGACGTCACGGCCCCGGGCCAATGAAGCCTCGTGGCCCCAGGGCTCTATTGCGCAACAAAGAGAACCCAGAACTTGAAAGGATTCCCCGGGCTCGCGCCGCACCCGCCCGCGCTGCCGCCCTACGGCCGGAGACACCGGTCCCGCTGCCGCCCGAGGCGGGGCTCGCAGCGCGGAGCGTCCGCATCTCCGGCACGCCCCCCCCCCGCCCGCCACGCCCGCCCCCCAACCCGGGGCGCCCCTGCCTGCGGGTCCCAAGCGGGACCCCCAGCCCTACCCGGCCCCGAGGGCGCGTCCGAGCTACGGCCCCGGGAACCAGCCGTGCGCACGGATTACGCTGGGCAGGGGTGGGCCCAGTACCCTTAGACTGGCCATCCCCGCTCCCGGCAAGCGGGGTGCCAGGCCGGGAGGCGGGGGGCAGGGAGGCAGGCCGGAGGAAGACGCCGGGCCCGGGGAAGTTACCCCGAAGGTCCGCAAGTTGCGGGGGGTGCGGGGCCCTCAGCGATGCCCGCCGCCCCGCGGACAGACAGTGAGACCAACGGACAGCAGGCAGACCCTCCCCGCCCGGAGCTCCCCGTCGCGGGGCCTCAAGCCCAGGGTCCTCCCACCCGGCCGTCGCCGGGCGCGGGCGGCGGCGCTCACCCTGCGTTCGGGCGCCCGGGGCTCCTGCTCGCTGCTCCCGCCTCCGGCTCTGGCTGAGGCTCACGCGCTCCCGGGCCGAGCGCGGGCCGCCGGGGCCCGTGGGGGTGGCTGGCGGCGGAGCGGCCCGCGGGCCGGGGCATCCTGACGGCGCCGCCCGGGGCCCGCGCGTTCCGCTCGGCTCCGCTCGACCCGCCGCCCCTCCCTCCCCTCGCGCCGCCGCCGCCGCCGCCGCCGCTCTCGGCTCCCGCCGCTCGGCTGGCTGCGCTCGGGCGGCCGGGGGCGGGGGGCGGAGCAGGGCGCATGCCTCCGCACCGCCCCTCGGACCGCCCCGCCCCCGCCCCCGTCCCCGGAGGTGCGGCCCACCTCCGCGTCGGTCTGTCTGCGCAACTGTGGGTCGTGGGCTCTCCCCCACCCCCGCACCCCGCCTCTGCCGCGGCGCCCAAGCCCCCTCGGGAGGGCGGCGCCTCTTGGGACGCCTGCACTACGCAGCGGCTCCTCGCTGCCCTCTCGGGTCGTCCGCTGCCCCGAGGCCGCCTCGGAGCCTCCTGGGAAAGCAGAGGCCTGGAGTCCTGGGGGGTGGCGGGCCAAGGGGGCCTAGGCCTGGAACGGACAGTGAGAGCCTAGGGCCGGGCATGGGGCTCAGGGAGGCCTTCCCGGAGGAAGCCACATCTATGGTGAACAATAAGGGTGTGGCGTGGAGGGGACCTGGAGCGCCTGAGGATCAGCACCTTCCAGGAACTGGGGAGTCGGTCAGGATCAGGGGCTGAGAGGTAGGGAGAGGCCAGGTTGGGCCGGCCAGGTTGGGCCAGCTAAGGATTCAAACTTATCCGGGGTTCTGGGGAGGTCCGCCGTGGGATGATGAATGGACCACGGGTCTGCCAGGTGATTGTCCTTCACCCTATGGGCTCAGGAATGTTCTCTCAAGCTGGAACCAGGACGTGGCGGCAGGGAGAGGCCAGGCCTGCAACCCAGCACTCCCGGTACCTCCTCAGGAGCTCCCCCCGCCCTTAGCATTTCTAGCGGGGGCGGGGGAGGGGGGGAGACAGGCAAACAAAGGGAATCCTGTTGTCTCCTTGATGGGGGCCTCTGGGGACCCTTGGAGTCTTGGTCTCTTCTAGGACACCCATGACCACACACAGCCTGGGCACAAGGCCTCAAAGTCATTTTGGGCTGCTTGGCATCGCCCTGTCCTTCTCATGCATCTGGGAAGCATCCAAGAGTGTGCAGCCCAGTGTCTGGAGGAGGGGGGCCCCTGTCCAGATAGGACCGGACCCAACCAAATGCAGCCACTGCTGCCTGCACCACTGTACAGCTGGCTCCCACACTGCCCGCCCTACACCACCTCTGTATCCCAGGGGCAGCTGGGAGTTAGGGGTCGCCGTAAGGAGACCCAGGGCAGGCCTGAGGGTCAGGGCTTTGCGACAAAAGTAAAGGTGTTTGTATCTGAAGGCTCCGCAATGAAGTGGGGCTGGCGCATGGGGGGCCTGGGGCAGTGCACTCCATGTGTGGCTTCTGGGCAGTCAGGATCCCTAGTGAGCTCTCCATGGACGGGCCAGCTCCCTGCCCAGGTGGCCCTGGTTATAAATAGGCCACCAGCAGTGGGAGGTTGCCACACGGAGGCTGGTACTCAAGCGTGGCATTTCTAAGGCAAACACAGGTGATTCAGTCATCAGGAGCCTCTGGCCACACTGCTGCCCCGCTGGCAGAGGACAGCCTGCCCTGGGCCTATGGCCCCCAGTGCCCCTCCACCAGCCCAGCTCACCCACTACTGCCTGTACCAGAGCCCCTGCCCTGGGCTCAGCTGGCTCTGTGGGCAGGTGGGAGATGGGCCTCCCATGGCCACCCTGGGGGCCTCGTACTGAATGCTTCACTAGCCTGGGCTCCTCCCAGCTGTCCTGGGAAGTGGATTTTAGGTACCCGGCTTGCCCAAAGCCACACAGATGAGTGGCCAAGCCAAGACTGATGTCCTCTTTCCCTTGGACTCTGTTTTCACGGACCATGGTTCGGCTGGCCTGGGCTGAACCAGGCTTTCTTGGACCTGCAGGGGACGCCTCCTGGTCACTCCCATCCCAGGGCACCACCTGCTGCCTTCAGGAGGTCAGAACGGGGTGGGGCGTGGGTGGAGCTGGGGAGGCAGAAGGGATTGGCGCTGTGGCCTCCAGTGGCCCGTTCCCTCCCCCTCCCCCTCCCTGGTTATTTCCGGGCAGGAAATAACCCGGGCAGCTGGGACTGAGGCCCGAGACAGATTCTGAAGCTCCTGGTGGGTGTTTCTGCACATCTGGAGCTGCATTCCCTCTCTCTGGGCCCCGGGGAGCCCTGTGTGAGGCTGCAGCTGTTGGTGACCACCCTTGCATCTCCAGGCTTCTGCGATGAGGCTGGGCTGGGAACATTCTCCCACCACCAGGTGTGCTTGGTGGAATCTTTCTCAGCCACGGGTGGGAGTGAAGGGGTGACCCCTGTAGGGCTTGGCAGCCTGTCTGCGCCCTCAGGCTGCTGGCCTAGATGCACACGCACAGCCTCACATCTCACACACGCACACGCACGGCCACAGATGTGCACGCACTCACGTGCACGCAGAGCTGCACGCGGACACCATTCACACACACTGCTGCTCAGACCCCCACCCCACAAGCCTTCCCAACAACCCCCTGGCCCGAGCGGCTGGGGGTTTCCACAGCAGGCAAAGGGGTCCTGGCACCAGCTGGGAGGCTCCTTCTAGAAGAATCCCTGCCTCTTCCTCCAGAGGGCTAAGGAGCCAGAGCTGCTTCCACTGAGAAGAGGCAGAGGGAGACCAGGGCAGGGCTCCCATTTGCTGAGGGTGCCCCAGTTGGGGGGGGTTGGCATCTGCTCTCTCTGCATGTCACCTCCCGGGGTCCCCACAAGCACTCCCCACCCCCATCTATGGGAAGACCACCTGAGGCTTACAGCTGGCAGCCAGACAGAGGGCAAGCAGGGTGCTGGCTGGGGCCTTGGGGCCAGGGTATGGAACCAGGGCCCTGGAAGGGGTGTTCCCTCCAGCCAGCAAGTCAGGAGAACCCGAGTTCTGGGGTCCACGCAGGTACCGGCACCCGAGGGAGACAGGAGTGCGGGAGGGCCCGTGGAAGCCCCCAGCCCCCACATCCTGTGCTCAACAGGAAAGCAGCCCCCCAAGACAAATGACGACCCAGGACCAAGGTCCAGCCAAACAGCAGCTTTATTAGTGGCGCTGGATTCTATACACGCCGTGCAGTGTGCACGCAAGCATTCCCTCGGGGGCGCCGCCGGCGGGAGGGACGACCCTGGAGGGGTATAAATAAAGCTTTGGTGTGTAGGTTTTCAGGAGAGAGCGCGGGTTAACACTGCAAGACGAACACTTCACACGACACCAGCTCTCCGTGTGGATCGGGTTTTTGGCCAAGGGGGTAAATTCTAAGTGACTAGACACTGGGGTCCCGCAGACCAGGCGCGGGAGGGGAGGGTCGCTTAGGCCTGGGGCTCCGCCGGGCCCTGCCGTTTTGCCTTCATCTGCAGGTACCGCCCTTTGCCTTCCTCAAAGCGCTTCTTCTCGTCCTCGGTCTCGGGCTGTGGACCACACACAGAGACAGGCAGGTTAGAGAGGCCACGGCACCCCGACTGTGGGCCGCAGCCTGGGCGCTGCCCCGGGGGGAGGGGCCCAGAACACCCCACCCCGGGGGCGCTGGCGGCCTGGGGCGGACGAGGTGACCCTGGGAAGGGGTCCTTGTCAGGGTACCAGTGTCACCGGCGCCTCCACGCCACCCTCCATGGCAGGTGGAATCCCAAGCCCAGTGCTTCTTTGATAATGAACTTTAGCTGGAAATGCACTAAATGCATAAATGGGGGGAAGGCCCAGAGCAGGGTGAGGGTGAGGAAGGAGGGGGGTCCCCGCTGGGTCCACTCCCAGGGCATGCCAGCTGCTCACAGTCCCTGCCCCGAAGGGAAGTAGAGACGAGCACTGTGCTGGCTACGTGACCTTGGGAGGGCCACTTCAATGAACCAGGAGTCATAGTGGTGGCTGTGTGGGTGAAAGCCCCGGATGGCACAGACGATGGGAGAGGCACCTCGGGTCCCGATCGCCCCTTCTCTGCACATCTTTCCTCTGAGCAACTGAAGCGCCACGTCTCCAGCCTCAGGGGGTGGGGGTAGAGCCCACTGGTCGAAGGCTGGGCTTCGCCCGGGAAGTCTCGGTTCGTGCCTCTGCGCACACGACGGGACTGTGAACGGTGCCCACTTCTGCTCTCCAAGAGCAGCCTGGCCGCTAAGCGCAGAGGCCACCGCAGCAGCCCGGGCGGTCACTTCCCGGGGCACCATCCATCCCACCACTGAGTTCTCTCCGGCCCGCCCCAGGCAGGAATTCAGGTTTAAAGAGCTCTGCCAATTCCTCTGGGGCATTTCCGTGCGCTGCTTTGAGGGTGTCTGAAAGCCAAAGAAATGGGGCAGGTGCCCTTCATCCACAATGACACCGAGCCCCAGCAGCTATTTTTAGGCCTAAGTGTTTTACAGGCAAATGGTATATTGGCAAAAGGGAGAAAGAACAATCAGCCGGAGGATGTAATGTCAGGTTAAACCAAATACTTCCTCCGTCTTAGCCTCCTCAGAAATTGTTCGCTAAATGTCACCAGGTGTAAACTGTCAAAACCTTGTGGCTTGGAGCCAGCGGAACTTTTGGGTATTTAAAGAATGGGGCTCGTGCTCTTAGCGTGGTTCTGGCGGCTGTTTGAAGAGCACACGTGGAAAGTGGAAGACACTTTATGGAAGAAGGTGCTCCTGGGGCTCCAGGTTCATCTCTGGTTGGCTTTTTTAGAAAATGAAATTTGAGGCTGTGCAATCTGACCTGAAAGAGCCCAGGGAGACAAGATGTTCTCTCTGCTACAGCAGGCAGTGCTGACTCCTGGGGACAGGAGGGCTGGGGGCCTGCTCCCTGTTCCTGAAGGCACCGCACAAACACAGGCCGCGTCCAGCTGGGCCCGGCTTCTGTGCGGCCCCGCGAGGATGTGTCAGATGGGGGCTTCTCCCCAATGCCTATGCGTGCGGGGGCCACCCAGGTTCTGACCCGGTGGGTCTAGGGCCCACGGGCTGGGACTCATTTCTAACACACATCCAGGTGATGCGTGGCCACTGGCCCGTGGGCCACTCTGCCCCCATCCATCCTTCCATCCATCCATCTCTGCACCAGATGGGGGACAGCCAAAGAGGCCAAGAATGCAAGATCAAGGCCATGGGGCTGAGACAGTTGGGGGCCTTTTCCTCCTCCTTCCCCTGTGGAACATGCTTGGCATGGTTAAGGAAACATGTGACTCCCATCCACCCACGGTGGCCAAAGGCCACGGCTTAGGAGAGTGGCACGGCTGGGCCCCTCCCACTGGGGAGGGGCTGCGGCCAGGGAACCTGCTCATGGGCAGTATGTTCGGGTCCTGGAGCTGGGAAACGGGGAGGTGGGGGAGAGCTGGAGCGGGAGAGACAGTGGGCTGGGCCATGTGCCGAGGGCCCTCCCTCACTGGTGGAGTTTCCACCCCTGGGGCAGGGAAAGGAGGCAATAGGCTCGGAAAGAAAAGGATTTCTCAAAAGCAAGAGCCGTGAGCAAGGCAGCAGGCTGGAGAGTGATGGCCACCCGGGCTGTCCACAGAGCCCGCTGGAGCCAGGCCCAGCCTGATGTGGGGGGCCCGTTTCTCCAGCCCACCAGCATTTCTGGAAACTGGCAGACGTGGGATTTGCACGAGGAACTTGGTCCCCAAGTGCCTGGGTCACCAGCCAAGGGCTCTCAGGGCTCAGAAGAGTAGGGTAGGGTCCAGGGGGAAGCAGCAAACGGAGCCATCATCTAGGAAGTCCTAGAGAGCGGGCAGAAATGGCCCGCCGAGGTCAAAGCTCTGGTGAGCAGCACCCTCCCCCGCCCCCCGCAACCATCTCTCTGACGTCTGTCTGCAAGTCTGTCTATAGCTCTGTCTGTCTGCAAGTGTGTCTATAGCGTCCACACCATGCACTTCGGTTCTCTCCCTTGAGGACATGCATCCTTGTTCCATTTGTGTTAATGCCGCTAACTACAAACCTGTAGTGGGAGTGGGGTCTCCACAGTCTCTGCGCCCCAGCCCCAGCCTCTATGTCCCCACCTTTGGAAGGAAGAGGAAGCCTTCTGGAGGGTTGCTGGGAAGCGGGTGGGAGGCTGCATGCTAACTGGCTGCTTGCAATAAACAGGTACACACGGGACTGAGGCTTTGAAGATCTTGAAGTCAAATAAATCTGTTTGACTTTGTTGAATCTGCGGCCTCCCAAATGGATCTGGCCAAGGACCCCTCTTTCTCAGGAGCCGCACCACCATCTTGGGGTTGGCCGAATGGCCAGCAGCTGCCCACGCTCTCCTGCTACCAGCATGTGGCACACGCTTTCAAAGCTGGTCCCTGCAGACCCGGGTCAGTGCCACCCGGCCTGTGGAATGGGCTGGCCCACCTCGGGACCCCCACCACACCACACCCCCTTTCTGGAGTGGTCTCTTCATTCTGCCCCAGAACCAGCTCAGCCTCCCTGCGGGAGCCAGAGCGATGGGCCAGCCAGCCTGGTTTGAATTTGGCTTTGCCACTTACCCGTCGTAAGGCTCACAGACCCCCCTACACCGCCTTCTGTAAAACGGACCAGTATCCACCCTACCGTGTTGCTGGGGGGACCAGAGTGCTCCTAGATGTCCCCAAAAAGAGAGTGACAGAAGCCCCACCCACTTCACGTAGGAGTCCCATTTATACGGAATCTTTAGACTAATCACATCCCCGCAGAGAACGCAGGTTAGTGGCGCCAGGGGCTGGGGGCGGGCTGACGGCTGAGGGGTGCGTGGTTTCTTCTGGGGGGATGAACGCGTTCTAAAATCGACTGTGGTGATGGTTGTGCTCCCCTGTGCACGCGGAGTTGTACGGTATGTAATCAGGCAGAGGTCAACACCCCCTCACAGTCCGCAGGGAGTCAGGGAGATGGTCCAGCAGGGCAAGGCTCCCCCCAAGTCCTTGCACCCAAGTGGCAGCGGCGCAGAGGAAACGCTCACTGAACTAACCCGGCACTTTCCCTACAGCGGCCAAGCCTTCACTCACTCACTCACTCACTCACTCATTCACCCTCCCTCGCGGGCTGCTCTGTGCCAGGTGCACGGACCCATCTCGGGAAGCTGGCAACACGCAGAAAATGAGGCGGATTGTCCAGGACGTCGGAAAGTGACAATGACACGCCCCGGCTACAGAGTCAAGCAGAGCAAGGGGGTCTCAAGGGCCAAGTGCTGCCGGGGAGGGTCCTGATCCACGGAGGAGAGCAGGTCACCTGCAGACAGCGACAATGGCTGTCCTCCCATCTGGTCAGCAAGAGGCAGCGCCAGGGCCCCTTGGGCAGAGCCAGCCAACACGCGCGGGAAGGGCCTCCTCGGGGAAAAGCAGAGAGCGGAGGCCCGGGATGTCCTCGGACACCTCACCCATGGCGTGGGGACTTCCTAGGCCCCCCTGGGTCTGAGTGCTTACGAGGAGCAGGGGCAGCGCGCATACCCTCCCCAACCCAAGGCCTCAACACGGTGGCCCCCGAGAGCTGCCAGGCAACCTGCCACTGGGGCGGGCATCCATCTGGATGACTTTCCAGGCCCTTCTAACACTGGGCAGTGCTGTGGTTACGCCCAAGAGCCTGCCCCTGGGGTCGCTGGTCCGGCAGAAGCTGTGAGAAGGCAGGCCAGGCTCCCGGGGCCGGGTCTTCTGTGGGGCGATAGGGGGTCCAGAGTCCAGTCTGCTGGTGAGGATAAGCCAGCGACACACGACAAAGAGCTCTTCTCTCTCCTGGACACACTGAAATCCCTGGGGGCGATGACGCGGTCTCAGATTTGCCTCCGCAGGCCTGGGCGGTGGGGCGGGAGGGGCACAGACGAGCAAGACTGGCCCCACGTCAATAACCACCTAAGAGATCTTTTTTGTCTTTACTTCTGCATGTATTTGACTTTTCTATAATTAAAAGGTAAAAAAAGAAAACCCAACTAGACCCGTGAGGGCAGCTGCAGGGACCCCTGCTCCCTTCCCTGGGCACAAAGACCTCAAGTCACATGCAGTCAGCGGAGGAACGGAGTCTGGCATTGGAGGGGAGCTGCCTCCCCCTCCGGGCTCTATTTCCCTGTGGCCCCCTCGCCAACCTCCCCACCTGGCACCCTCCTGCCCAGAACCACACCCACAGTGTCCCGGGTCAACCCACGCATCTGTGACAATATCCCTCCAACTGCCCAGGTGAACCTTGTGCGGTGACAGAGCCTAGGGCCTTCCTGCCGCTTCTCCCCTGTGGGCCGTGCACAGGGGGCGAACCTGACGACGTTCTCAGTTCTCTGGGCCACAGCTTTGAGGAAGCGGCCTGCACTGAGGGGCCCGGCACGTGCCCACACCACGCTGGCCCGCACCACGCTGGCCCGCACCACGCCAGCACGATATGGTCAGCAGTGACCCACAAGGAATACGGAGGTCATTACAGTTTCCCTTCCCCCGACGAGGACAGGAGGCCCAGAGAGGGTGGGTGACTTGCCCAAATGACATCTGATAGAGCCACAGAGCCTCCATTTGAGC